TGCTTACTGCAGTGTTTCTCTGTTAATTTGATTTTTAACTTCAACTGACCATAGGGGGTGTGTCGATGAGATCTACACACAAGAGAAAAGAACAGGCAGAGTCTCAGACCTGGGCAGTGGGCTTTTAATCCAAATGTACTTTGTGTGTGCCTGCTAACTTTTGAAACTCCTGTGACGAAATTGTCACATGTCTCCAAGACGATTTTATGTTTTCTGAGAAGCAGGTGCATTCTGAGAGGGTGCATTCTTCTTCCTCATGCTAGAAGAGTATGAAACTCCATGGGAAGAGTGATTGGGAGAACTTAAATGTGGAAGAAAAGGGGGTATAACTTCCTTAGGCTGTGTGTGGGAAAGTGCAACATGGAGGGCCAGCTGGGCTTGAGAAATATCAGGCAGCTCCTGACAAACCGAAAATGATTCAATTGAAAAAAACAGAAAACAAAACTTCTGAGCAACATTGGAGATATGTTGCAATGCTACTATGTTTGGCAGGACAAGGAATTTTGTAGGTGGCAGATCTTTCTTGGGTCTTGTTCAAAGAATATTGCTAAGAAATCCAGTTAACTTAATTTTATGTGCATTCCTTTGCTCTACTGTAGCCAAGAGCCCTGAAGACACTGTGATCAAGAGGTGAAAAAATAATCTTAATACGATTTGGTGTTGAATTACATAAAAGAATATAGTCTAAGCTGGGCGTTTGTGGCGCATGCCTTTAATCCCAGCACTTGGGAGACAGAGGTAGGAGGATCTCTGTGAGTTTGAGGCCAGCCTGGTCTCCAGAGAGAGTGCCAGGATAGGCTCCAAAGCTACACAGAGAAATCCTGTCTCGAAAAAAAACAAAACAAACAAACAAACAAAGAATATAGTCTAGAAAAGTAAAGGCATGTAGTACCACAGATGTGGGAGTTTAAATGTAGTTTCTACACACATACAGAATAAATACAAAATTCATGGTTGACTTATTGAAATGACAGTCCTCAGAGGAATTTAGAATGGCTTCATATTCAGTGAAATCTGAGCAATGAGGTAAGAGTTTTTCAATTGAAGAGAATTTGCGTTCAGGTCTGGGCTCTGTGGAGATGCAAAGGGAGCTTTGGAGAAACTGAAGGAATCATTAGAAATGTGTGGAGAAAACCAACACTAGATAAACACAGTACATTGGAAAATATTTTCCAGATCTTCATGTCAGTGCTGCAAAAGTGTCACTGTGTTATGGGGGAGTGGGGAAGGACAGCCACCAGCTCGACTATTATAGAACAGGACAGGATCACAGGAGAGGGGCTATGAGTCTATACTTTTCCACTTAGAAGCCACCAACAGCCAAGTCTTAGAACCATTACACAATTCTGCTAGACCACACACCTACAGGGATCCTGGCATTTATAATAGATGAATATAAAACGAGGGCAGATACATGTAGAGATAAAGAGTCTATTAATTGCAATCATCTATTATTGCATCACCCACAGTAATGATGTAGGGACATTTCACCTACCCCATGGCATGTTGTAGGTAAAGAAGTTTTCTGAAAAGCCTTTTACATTTTGGAATCTGGCAGAATTTTAGATGGAGTTCCATGTGGTATAGTGGGAAATTACCAATACGGAGTCAGGTAGAAATATAAGGGTATTTAATAGGGAAAAGCCTTACTTACAGAGCGACCTAGCCAGCTGGCGTGGCAGCAGTCTGTATGCAAGCCCAAAAGAGAAATCGAAATCGAAAATGCAGTCACCCTACATCCCCTGACCACGCCCTCGAAAGCTTGTGAGGGCGTGGTCAGGCACACCTGTAGCCAGCCCCTAAGTAGGCGTGGCTACAGCTTCCCCTACAATGTGGTTGTTACTGAAAGATTTACATAACCTTACAGGGAAAATTAAACATGTTAATAACTAAGAAAGAAGAAAGTCATTTAAATTAGCTCTGGTGTTCTGCTTAAATTAAACTCATCTATTTAAGCTAGTGCCTCACAGCCTGAACATTTCCTAGCTCTTACATTAAAAAATAATCTCTTCTGAGAATCCCATTTCATTAAAAAATTATTGTTTCCTGTTGGCAAGATGAATCCAGTCTATGGAAAGGGGCATGAATAATCTAAATTTATTTCTTGTTTTGAATGGAAAGGCAGTGGCTTAACTGTGGACTTCATCTGACATACTATGTTCCATGAGTCTTTGGGAGATGAATTATTTTCCTGTTACACTTTTGCTATTTCTAGTTACTCTGAACAATCCTGGTGACATATGGCCACCGTTTTCACAGTGGGCTCTGCATGCTCCCTGCATGAGATGCTGACAGTAAGGTATCTTTCTTTATGTGAAGTGAGGCAGTCCTCATCTCTGGATCCTGGGCTGTTCCAAAGAAGAACCAAAAACAGAGCCAGCATCTGAAAGCCAGAGACATGTGTAAGGTTCTGCCCTAATGGCTTCAGTTGTTATTCTTCTTCATGGCCCTGGAGAAGACACTGAGGCATCCCAGATTCTCCACTTACCTGGTTTGAGAAGAGTGACCTCAAGGAACCCAAATCCCCTTAAACTACATCTTTTAGAACTTCCAGCTTTAGAATGCTTTGGGTTCAAATCAGTTCAGGAAAACCAAATGTTCACTTCAGATTGGATTCCCTCTAAATATCTTAATTTCTGATGTGAAACCTAGCTTCTCTCTCAGCACCATTTCACCTCTTCCCATTGTTCAAGTTTCCACAATCCTCTAACCATCTGCTTTGTCCTTAACATTTCCAGTTTGTTTTCTTTTCTGAATGGTTCTGCAAATTCCCATAATGCTTATCCACTCAGGAACTCCATTGAATCTTTTGTTGTTGTATTTCTGCCTTCCCTACAGGTCAGCATTCTCAGTGTTCACTGACTCATTTAATTGGGCAGTTTGGCCTACAATCTGCTGAGGTCAGATTATCTCCATGGCTTTCTACAGAAATGGTTCTTACTTTTGGAACTGCAAAAATGAGCTGTATCATATGTTAGTGTCACCCTGGGACCCAGGGAAAACAGTAGCCATCTGAAACACTGTAGGACACAAGACAAAGGAAAGATGTGTCAGGGCTGTATGATGACTTCCAGCTTAGCAGTGCATGGCACTTCTACTCACATTCTATGGCCCAAGCGAAGTACTATAGCCAACTTTGATGCTATTGCTCTTATTAAAAGAATTATGATAGGTCTGCAATAATAAAATCTCCCAAATCTATTTTTGCATCTTTCAACACTTCCTCCTCTTCTGAAGGGAAACCAAATTTTCCAAAGCCATGAATTATATGAATATATTGTCTTTTCTCATACACACACACCTGTAATCTACATGTTTATAGATAAGACACAGTAGAAAATTAAAAATAACTTATCATAGCTTGTAAGATCATGTAACCTCAGCAAGCCATTTTTCTTCTTTCTTGTCTTCAAATTTTCACCTTTTTACTCTATGCAGGAACTTTGTGGATTTTCTTTGGCATATCTAAATAACCACAATGAGTGTTCTCACTCTGTGGAGCCATTATAAGATGAAGTAAAGTTTATTGGAACACAAGGGCAAAACACAGGATTTATGATCTTGTTCAGGGCACACATTAAAATGTAGGATTGTTTATGGAATTTTCCATTAAGTGCTTTTGGACCAGAGTTGACTATGGGGTATGGCTTCTGGAGAAAATGAAGCAGGGGATGATCTTCTGTACTTAGATTTAGATTTTCGTGGGAAAAGTCCCTTTTCCAAGGTTTTGTCTTAGCTTTCTTTCTGCTTCTCTGTCCTGTAGCTTCTCTAGGAGCTCTTCACTCTCCACCTCATCTCTTGTTTATCATGAACATTCTACCCTTTCTCTTCTCCGTGGCATGCTTTGTGTCTGCCCACTCTTGTTTTATAATTTCACCCATTTCCCACTGAGCTTTTTGCAGTTTTCCTTCACACTGTAGTTCTAGATGGTGCAAGACAAGGGAACCCGAGAATGTTTACTTAAACCATGTCAACACACTAAACAGGGGGTCACTTGCTTAAAACTTGACTAGTTCCTTTTCCCATTCTGAATGGAGCCGCTTTGATTAAAGTTCATATATTCCAACACATGCAGTAACCCTCAGCTCTTATCTGATGTTATCAGTATGCAGAGTTGCAAAAAGTAGCCTGAGATTAATTCAAACATAATTTCCATGCATGTTACATAGAGTGAAAAGAAACAATGCCACTCTTTCTGCACTTCATTGGTACTCAGTAGGATGTACCTTAAGAAAAAAAATGGTCTTCAGGTAAATCCCTTTTTGTCAGATTTCTTTGTATTAATCACTGTCTATATTTAAAAATGATGGACATTTCATGGTTAATTCATAACTCCAAGTACTTTGAATGGCTGTTTAGTGCTAAATGCCATTTTTGTGTGATACACATATTTTACCTAGAAATTTTAGGTTTGTATTCAATGATAATTTATAATCATACACATAATCATTTGATTGATTTATTGAGTGAATATGAATGCCATAATTATCCTCATTAAACTCAAGGTGGAAAGGTTGTTTTTGCAACTTTGTGACATGATCACAAGACAAAAATATGTGTAGTGTGTGTGCTTTCAGAAACTTTGACTGCTCAGCCACATGCCTCACTCAGCACTTGCCTTTTCACAGCACACCAGGCTGACTTACACATCCATTCTGAACAAAGGTGATAAAAACCGTATTGTTATTCCCAGGTGTCAAAATCAAAAGAAGCAGAGAGTGTATAGGAGTCTTTCTACAGGTTATTCTTGAGTACATATATAGTCTGTCTTCTGGTCCCCATTTAACTCTTAGCAAAATCTTCTTTGTCCTTTGTTCTTCTGAATAACACCTGAATAAATACTGAGATGGGTATATCGTCTTGTTCAGACTGTGCTTACACATATACATATTTTCAGTAACAAGTTTCTGGTGATGATAACTGAATCTTATCATGTCTTCACATTTGCATGCAAAATATAGGCAAGTTGTTTAGCATCTTTGTACTTGTGTGTTTTTCAGGCAGAGGGTACCAGACTTCAGCGGGAACTCCGAGGATATTTAGCAGCAATCAAAGGTAATGTATATATGTGTTGTTTACCACCTGTTTCCAAGCACAAGTTGTTCTTGGAATTTGTAACAGACATGAGTGAGTGTTAATGAGAGCTCCACTTGGCTTTCTGGCAAGTAGCATACTTGAACACAGGTGTTTCTTTCCATCCACTTCCAATTTCCATAAATGATAATCAGAATAAACAAGGACAAATATACATGAGCCCTTCTGCAGCAAACTAAGAATAAATGCCGCCCACATGCCAGGGGTTTCTAGGAAGGCTTATTAGACAGAGTGAGTGGGAGATTTTACTGAAGCAAAGGTTCAGCTGGCTTCCCTTCTGAGTTAGGTCCCAAGGTACAATACACACAGACTCACTTAGCCCTCTCATATTAGGACCAAGGAGTTGCAGGAAAAGCAGGTGGAGGGGTTGGGTACCAGGGAACACATGCCTATGACTTGCAGAAAAAAAGAAAACAAAGCCAAACTGTTTATAAAGTTTTGGCAATGTATAACCTAGAGAACAGAGAGGCTTTTGCTTTGGTTTCTGACCTTTGCCATGCAATGTAGGAGGCTATTGGGAGAGGGAAGAGAGGAATGAATGAATGGTGAGGTGTGCTCAGCCAGTCTGCTCTCGGTTCATCATCAGGCCTCCTCCTTGTCTGAGTCAGCCAAGAGCACCAACAGATTTGATACTCCATAGAGAAGACCTCAAGATGAGTGGAGAAAGAATGAAATATCTTACAAGGAGTCTTGGGGAAAACTCTACAAACACTGAGAAAAACATGGAAGGCCCAATTTCACACTTCACTGCCTCCGATTCAAATAAAGACTTAAACATGCACATGTAAAAAGTTTCAGTATTATACTAAAACACAAAGTATTTTGTCCCCATTTTTTGGGTGAATGAGGTCTTTACAAGATACCTCCAAAGATGTACACCAAGAACAAGAGATTTTACCATGTAAATGTGTGTTTAAAATTACTGTAATTTTGACAATTTGTTCAATGCAATTGAACTAAGATATAAAGCACTTAGTAAGAAAACTAAATGGAGAATGGTTTATTTTTAAAAATGAACAACCTGTTTGAAGAGAAAAATCAAGCAAGGGAAACAGAGGCAGGAAGATTGTAAAATCAAAGCTACCTTTGAGCAACTTAGTGAAACTCTCTCAAAATAAAATTGTGAAAGGAGTTTAGGGCAGGTGACATAGGTAGTGGTGGAACACTCACTTGCTTAATTAAGGTGAAACCCTAGGCTCAGTCCACAGCACTGCAAATCAAAAAGAAACAAAGAACTTCTGAAGGAAGTGGCATGAATAATCCTTATCCCCAGGACTCACCAGAGAATGGTTAAGAAAATGACACAGGAAATGCCATCCCTGCACCTCTGGATATTCAAGGATGCATGAAATTTTTCTGTTAGGATCACTTTCCTGGAAAACAGTATACCAGAAGCTCTTAAATGAGTATTCTTTGACTTCCTTACACACACGTTTGACACAGCATTTCACTTTGAAGGAAGTATTCTCACAGTTCAGAGTGAATGTGTAAAGCTGATTATGAATATATTGATAAATAATGAAGTACTGGGGATGCTATTAATGAAAAACTAGTCATAATGATAATGATCAATAAAATTTATGTTTAAACTGAAAGGTGTGTAAGTGTCTCACTTGCCAGGAACACACTTGCAATCTTCATGACAACTTCATGAGGGTGATACTTCTATTGTCTGTATTTAAAAAAAATATTTTCTTCATCTTATTTAAAAATTATGTGTTTGCATGCATATCTGTGAGAGGGTGTATGTATGTGTATGGGTGCTCCAGAGGCCAGGAGCATCACAAGCTTTTGGAGCTGGAGTTACATACAGATGGTTGTGATCCACTCAAAGTAGGCACTGGGTGCTGGGAATCAAACTTGGGACCTCTGCACAACAGTATATTTTCTTATCTGTTACCTACCCAATCCTACATGTTATTTCGTTGATGACATAAATGAAACACCTAAGTTTAACTAGTCGTAGGACCCTGTTTAGTAGACTGCATACATGATGCCCTGTCTGGTTTTGTGTTCTCCAAACCTTTGTTTTTTTTTCTCCTTTCTGACAGGGTTGTTGGATTTCATGACTAATACTGAGCATCGGTTTCATTGATTTTTACCTCATCTATGCAAAAGTTTCACTAGTGTGTGTGTGTGTGTGTGTGTGTGTGTTTAAATCAGTGGAAACCTTGCTGGAGTTGGTTCTCTCCTTCCACCATGTGGGTTCTAGGAATCAATCTCAGATAATTAGGTTAGTGGCAAAAGTATTTCTTTGATGACATGTCTCTATGGCCCTCCTACTCTTACTTCTTCAAGAGCACATTTTGTGTGCTGGACTCTGGGAGGTGTACTTTAGACAACTGACTTGTTTATAGTCTTCCCAGCAAGTATGTGATAAATGCCATTACCTCTATTTTACATTTTTCTAACAAGTAATGCCAAGAGTTTAGTCCTGCAGGTTCATAAAGCTCATCAGTAACTGCTTCAAAATCAACTTCAAGTGGTATTTGTAACTATTCTATCAGAAATATACATTTTTCTAGATATTTACTATCTTTATCAACTTAAGATATGAACCCAGGAAGTCATGTTATTTTAAGATTGAAGCTTATCTCTACATTAGCTAATATTTTTGTATGGATGTATTTGTTGAACGAATAAGCTCTCCTTTATCAGTAGTTTTCAACCTTCCTAATGCTGCAATTGTTTAATACAGTTCCTTATGTTGTGGTGATGACCAACTATACAATTGTTTTCATTGCTACTTTCTAACTGTAATTTTGCTACTGTTATGAATCTTAATGTAAATATCTGTGTTAGGTGACTGCTGTGAAAGGATCTTTTGACCCTAAGTGGTCATGGCCCACATGTTGAGAACCACTGTTCTGTATAGTTTTGTGTAAGTTGGTCTCTTTTACCTCATTAGGATAGAGAATGCCACAGAAAAAGACTAGCATAATTCTTTTCTCTAATATGAGTTACAAAGGGAGTCCCCTTAAGTGAGACATTAGTTCCAGTGAGAAACTGGATAGTACATGAAAGCCTACTGCTTCTAGTGACCACATCTCTCTGTAGGAGAAGGGATAATATGAGCTTGCTCCTCCTTGATGTCTGCTGATTGGGTGATATTTGCTTGTTCTATCCACTAACAGTGTTCTGTGTTGAAATTGCTTTGGCTGAAGGTGGTTAGGATGCATATTCATGCAGATGCCAGGTGAGATTCTCAGAGTGTGTCTTAGAACTGCCTGTGATATTGTGTTCTGCAGAGCTGCTGTGAGGTACATCCCAGATGGCTTCTCTTCTCAGTGTCATGAGGAATAAGTAATGTTCTTTGGAACACATTTTGCATTGGGAAACACACTTAAACACAAGGAGTACACATACATTAAGTAGATCATAACTGGCATTTGTGAAGACATTTCACTCAAAGCCAATTTTTGTTTTCACAGAGAACGTTGGCTAATTGATAGTACCAAAATGCACACATCATCATAGCAGCAGCACAAAGAAAGGGGATTCAGCCCCAAATATCCTGGGAGCTGAGGCAAGTTTGGCAGGAGCATTGAGCCACTGGCTGCATTCACAGACACTACTGTGGCTCATATAATCTTTCTTGTCTCTCTTCTGTGATATTGACCAAACCTTAGGTATAGAAGTTGTGTTATAGATCTTCCAAGTGGAGTTTGTTTCACTGTGGTTATTATTCTCTGAATTTGGCTGTCTGTGGATCTCTGTAGCCTCTGCCTAGTGCATAAAATAAGCTTCTTTGATGAGGGATAAAAGCTACACACTTAACTGTGGTTGTAAGGACAAGACTTTAGAATATATTTAGAAACTATATTGATTTAGAAAATTGGCAGTAGTAGGTTATTTATCCTCTAGGGTCCATTACTCCTCCACCCACCAATAGTTTTCTAAGTTAATAGTAACAAGAATGAATTCCCTCATGTTGAACAGCCTTATGTCTGATTAGATAGCAGTTGGTAAGTCCTAAGAAAAAAAGTGCTACTATTGTACCCTTGGGACAATCCTTATCATACTTATCATTGCTGTGGTTTGTAGGCTTTACATTTGGGGAGTACTATTGGTTTTCTTTTTTCTCTTGACAGCTTGCATAGCATTTCTAATATTATGAGAGCTAATCCTCAGGGAGGATGCTTCAAGGTCAGTTCTAGCTGTATTTCTCCAAGTCCCATGTCTGAAGTGTGTGGTATGTCTTCAGAAATAAGATGTACCTTCAACTTCTGGGAGGCAACCAAGGATAATGACAGAAGCTTACATTGTTTTAGGAGTCTTGAATATCCCTTACCAAAATAGGAATGGAGGATTTGCCTGGAGTTGGGGTTTCTGTTAGGTGATGGAAGGGAGTACTGTCTTCCCATATAGTGTGACTCCTTTGCAACATTTTACAGACATACTGGAGTGGTTGGCTACTATTCTATATAAGATATGTTATTTTTAAGTAAAACATATACTCCAAAGCTATGCAAGCAAAGAGTACTCATTGGAGTGCAATCTCTACCACTAGTCTTAAGTATAAAAACAAGGTCATGAAGTTGGCCTCAGATGGAAAATCTATTTTATTATATGTTTTGGAGAAAGCCTGACATATTCAATATAGGCTTCTATCCAATATTCTTCCTATATGTAGTGGTCTATAGTTGCTATGCAAACTTGTAAATTATTAATCTTATGAAATATCCATATTAGATATTAACTGCCAGTAGTGACTTTCAGGATGTACTCTGTTCTGAGGTTAACAAATTATTAACCAGTAAAGAAACTGGATTTTAGCTGTTTGTTCTTATATTCTGCCACCAGAGTGAGTTCTTTGTTTTAGTTTACTTTGGGTAATTTATAATGAATAGAAACTGAATTGGCTCATCTGGAGTCTAAGAAGTTCAAGATCAAAATTCCATATCTGGAAAGTTTCTCTGCTGTACCACGCCATCTCAGAAGCATTCCCTGGGCAAAAAAGAGAGAATAATGAGCTCCTTCTTTAGTAGGTCCCACCCTCTTGATGATGAGGCCACTTGCTCAATAGCAACATCAATCCATTCTTGAGGACAGAGCCTCCTGACAGTCCCTGCTTAACCTCTCCCTCCCATCTCCAACACTGCTGTACTGGGGATTACATTTCTCAAATATAAACTTTGGGAGATGCATTCAAATGGAAATCATTCTCAACTGAAATTATTTGAAATTATCCCTCAAAGTCTTTATGGTCCTCAAAAGTAAGGCTTGCCTTTGTTCACTTGGGTCTCAGTCCATCGTTTTGGAATATTTGCTTAACTATACAAAGATGTGTTGCATTTGTTTAATTATATAAAGACGTGTTGCTATTTGTCCTTGCCTGCCTAAGGCACTTGAGTGGTCTAATAAAAAGATGAATGGAAAACAAAACACAAAAAAACAAACAGATGAATGGCTGTTAGCAAGGGAGGAGGTATAGGCAGAACTTCTGGGCAGGGAGAATAGGTAGAAGGAGGAATTTAGGCTCAAGAAAGAAGAAAGAAAAGGAGATGTCAGCGAGACGCCAGGGGCCAGACAGACGGACATGGGAAGCAGAACATACAGAATGAAAGAAAGGTAAAATAACCCAAGGTGAAATGTAGATGAATAGAAACATGTTAAATTATGTTAAAAAGAACTAGAGGGACAAGTCTAAGCTAAGGCTGAGCATTCGTAATTAATAATAAGTCTCCATGTCTTTATTTGGGAAGCTGGTTGTCAGCCCAAAGAAAATTCCAACTGCAGTCTACCTGCTTCCTATGGAGTCAACTTCGTGGAACCCATTTCTATGTTAAAATGGCCTCTCCCAAATTTCTTATGTATATGCACAGTAATAGGCAGTCACTTTGGTCTAAAAGAAACATTACTGTAATGTTGTGCTTTTAGCATTGATGAGTAAAGTCTTACAAAATTTTATTTTGTCTAAGATCAGTTTTATTTTTCACCACAAAGGTCATTTGACTGACAGTGTCACACACAAACTTATTGAGGACCTGTTTCCATAGCTACTTATAATTTTCATCAGACTCAGACAAAGACTTCGAGAAAATACCAGAAGCCCCTGTCATTTGGACTGTAGAAGTACAACAAGCAGTAACCAGTGTTTGCCATGAAATGAGGAGGGTGTTTCTTAGTGCAAATTTGTGTGAATCAGGGTTGGAGTGAACATGACATATGCTGTAGTTGTCACCTCAGTGGTGATCTTCTTGTGGGAGAATCTATCTTCACTTGCTGGAATGTAGGGGTGGACACGGGTTCTATGTCGCCTTTGTCTTGTCTGTGCTTGCATGACTCTGCTTCACTTGATTCCACAGAGGCTTCAGTCCTCATTGACTTTCTCTGCCTTCACTCTAGCATGGTCATGCAAGTCTCTTCAGCTACATGGGCTTCACACCTCATTGTCAAAGACATCTTCAGCCATAGCATACTCAGTAGAGTACTTCATTACAGGGTTTCTCACCTCATATGATGTGAAGCATATCAAAACTTAATGATGTGAGAAACATCATCTATATACAATTAATTGTCAGGGAGACAGGGAAAACACAGGCTTTTATGCCAAATTGTATTCTGGCTTTCACACACTCTTCTGTGATACACACCGTCATCTCAGACCTCCTTTATTTCCCCTTTTATACTCCTTGGTGAACCTAGAACTGATTTCCATCTGTTCAGAAGTCATGTGGCTGTTTTCAATTTATACAGTCTCAATCTTTGCTTCCCTGAATTACAGTTCTCCGCTTCCCTTTGTTAACCTCTTAGTGATGAAAGCTTAGACATTAGATTGGCCAGGTGAGGTCTTCCAGCAACCGATTGCCTATTGTTCTGGTGTCATTCCTGAGCCACTCAGCATTTGCTCCTTATCCTCCATGCTTTGCTGGGTCTGGCCATGTCAGGAGGAGGTAAGGGGGTGGTGACTGCAAAGCCCTGGAGATGCTTTATACCCCCACTGCTCATAGACATTCCACAGAGCTGCTGTCACTAAGTGTGTGTTTCCAACCTACTGATGTGTAAAGAAAATTTAGAACTGTAGGTTCATGATTCCAAAGCTTTCTAAAAGGTGTCATTCAAAACTATAGCCATAGTTTTGAGAGATATTGAGAAAATACATTTCTATTTGTCTCTGTAACACTGAAGTTCCACTTGACTTGTAACCACTTTCAATAATTTGGCTGTTTACACCAAATAACCACTTTGAACTGATATATAACTTTATTTTTTTTTTACAGTGATTCAGGGTTAATTTTGCTTTTAGAATTTTGCAGCTTTTGTCTATTATTTCAGTGTTCTAGATATTTGTTGTTAGATTGCCCTTAATAAGTGACTAGAGCTCGTTGTTGTTGCAGTTCTTAGACTACAACAGTGTTGACTTCTGGAACCCAGTGTTTTGCTACCATTGTTAAGTAACTGAAAATGTGTGCTGTGCGAAAGAATATAAGACTCAGAGACTTGTATTGAAACATGTAGCTGTGTCTTCACAGTTGTTTTTGTGTCACTTATCAAAGCAGGGGGAAGAGAGCAATGCCTTTCCCATTTCATGTAATGTAACAGGAACTGTCTTTCTCCAATGCCAGGCATGCAGGAAGCCTCAATGAAGCTCACTGAGTCACTTCATGAAGTCTATGAGCCGGACTGGTATGGGAGGGAAGATGTGAAGATGGTTGGTGAGGTAAGTGAGAGCCAGGTGGCAGCTCATAGGAGTCCTGGGTGACTTCCAGGAGACTTCCACTGCTCACCCCCCTACCACTTTCCCATTTCAGGGTATCAATCTTAAAACAAGAGTAGATGCTCAGAAATCAGCCTGGAGTTTTATGGTCTGAATCATCTCCCACTTGCAGTGTGAGAGAAAGTTGATTCCAAAAAATTCCAAAACTGTTGAGATTTGGATTAAAAGTTGCTTTTCTTCAAAATAACAATAGTTCTTTTCTGTTACATAGCTCAGGTTGTAACATATTTTTTTGGCAGAGCCTTTTAATAGGTGTGGTTTTAATGTAGTAGTTCACTCTTTTATTCTTATATCCCTTTTAATCAACCATCTTGGAATGAAGAAGCAAAAACTCAGAAGACCGCCCATCTCTGTAGCATAGTTAGTGCAGTCACTAAAATCAATTGAACTTCGTGGCATCTTTGCACTTAGAAGTACCTTCACATCTGAACTGAAGACTATAGCTCTGGGTCACCTGGCCTGCAGGAAGTGAGCAAATAGGTGTCATTACTTTGCGGAAAGTGCAGTGGAACAGAGCAAGAATGGCTGTGTGACTTCAGGCAGTTCCTTTATCTTCTTGGGATTCATTCCCATTTCGAAAATGGGAATAATAATTATAAAAACTGAAAACACAAATCTTTGTGTTCAGGTCCCGTAGTCATTGTTCAGAGGAGGTTGTGGTCACTGATGGGAGCTTCTAGGCAGCTATTGTCTTCCAACCAAGTTCTTTATTGAAACGAACCTTTGTTTGTCATGTCATCACATAGGGTGAGTTAATATAACTCATCTAGGAAGAGAAGATCTGAATTAGATGATACAGCCAAGGCCCTGGCGAAAGTTAATTCTATGAACTGTACATCTCTGCATCCTTGGGAAAGAGGTTCACAGAGAGTCTCTGAATGCTGCATGACAATGCTGCCACCCTGATGGTGGTCTTTGTAATGTCCTTAGTATTGAAACAAGAATGCATTTGTCTATAAGAAACACTCTTGTTGGATATATCATCTTCTAAAATCTTTCAGGATGAGGATTTGACAAAACTGTTCCCACAGAATTTTCTAATGAAACTACCAAGTGTTTTTTTTTCATCTTACATTTTTCAGTATAAAAACATAATATTACAACATGTAATGCTAAATGCTTATCTTAGCTCTCCCTGCCTCTCAGGAATTCTAGCTCTTGGCCCCTGCACCTAGCCTGGGCAACACAGTAGAGTTGGCCCTGATGGTCCAGGTGTGTGAGAGCCACCACTGAGAGTATGAAAGCAGGAGAACTGTCCCTACCCTTTGCTCACTACTGTAAGGGGTGAACAAGCCAGGTCAGTGCTGGAGAGCTCACCCTGGTGGTGAGGACTGGGGAGAGCAGGTGGGTTGACCAATTCTGCAACTATCCAGGCCCAGAACCAGTGTTATTTGTTGGCCCATACCAACATCCACCCAATCTATGATTTATGGGAACATGTAAAGGGACCCATCTGGTCCTACAGGCCTATAGCTGCAAGATCCCCATGACACAGGGCAACAACAAGATTCTTAAGAGGAGTTCCAGTGAGGGCCCATCATTGACAGTATAGTAAACACTAGAGGCCTCAAACCAGACCAATAACTCTGCAATGAGCACATGCAAGTAAAGCTATGTGGACAAAAGGGTTTATTGCACAACTCACTGTGTCACACTACAGCTTCCACACAACATATTTTCTCTTTTCTTTTTTTTTTCTCTTAAAATTTACTTTATTAGGGATGGTGGAAGTACAAGGGCAGAGGGCAGTTACAAAGGGAAATGAAAGGGATCAGTATGTATGATGTGAAAGACACAAAGAATAAATAAAAAGAAACTTAAAAAAAGATTTACTACTAAAAAAACCCAAAGATTCACACCTCCCCCCAACACAGTCCACTGGATACCTCATAACTGGTAAGAGTATCCCAGTATGACAGACTTTTCATTCTGCAAATGATGTTTCAGCCATGTTCTGTTGTTTGGTTCTGTCTGGGTTGACTCTAGTTTCATCAACTGTGTGGGAGAAATTAGTTGGCTCACAGGAGCTCTTCTCAGTCTTTTAGCCCCAATGTCCATCTACTGGGATGTGGGAACCTGCTAAAGAAAGCATCTGCATTCTTTAGTAATTCAGAATCAGGGATGTATTTTATTTTTTTATTAATTTTTAACTTTGAATTGCGAAGATTATTTTACATGTCAATCCCAGTTCCCTCTCCCTCCCCTCCTTCTCTTCTCCCCCCAACTAATACCCTACCTATTTCGTACCCTTTATGCTCCCCAGGGAGGGTGAAGCCTTCTATAGGGGGGTCTTCAGAGTCGGTCATATCCTTTGGGATAGGGCCTAGACCCACCCCCTTGTGTCTAGGCTCAGGGAGTATCCCTCCATGTGGGATGGGCTCCCAAAGTCCATTCCTATGCTAAGGATAAGTACTAATCCACTACAAGGGGCCCCATAGATTTCCAAGGTCTCCTCACTGACACCCACATTCCTGGGGTCTAGATCACTCCCATGCTGGTTTCCCAGCTATCAGTCTGGGGACCAAGAGCTCTCCCTTGTTCAGGTCAGCTGTTCCTGTGGGTTTCATCAGCCTGGTATGGACCCCTTTGCTCATCAGTTTTTCTTCTCTGCAACTGGATTCCAGTTAAGTTCAAGGTTCAGCTGTGGGTGTCTACTTCTACTTCCACCAGCTGCTGGATGAAGGCTATAGGATGGCATATAAGTTAGTCATCAATCTCATTATCAGGGGAGGGCATTTAAGGTAGCCTCTCCTCTGTTGCTCAGATTGTTAGTTGGTGTCATCTTTGTAGATTTCCAGACATTTCCCTAGTGCCTTATTTCTCTTTAAACCTATAATGTCTGTCTCTATTGTAGGATCTCTTATCTTGATCTCTTCTGTTCTTCCCCCAACTCAACCTCCCTGCCCTATCATGTCCTCCTCACCCCTCCTCTCCTTCTCATTCTCCAATTTCCCTCTCCCCTCCCTCCATGCTCCCAATTTGCTCAGGAGATCTTGTCCCTTTCCCCTTCTCCAGGGGACCATGTATGTCTCTTTTAGGGTCCCCCTTGTTTACTAGCTTCTCTGGCAGTGTGGATTGTAGGCTGGCAGGGACATATTTTAAAGAAGTCATGCTCTTAGCTTGTATTGTTAACTACAACGGACTGCCTTAACATTTGTATATTAGTTCATATTGCATCTTCTAATATCTCAGAAGTATTGCTCACCAAGTTTTATGGTTTTAGATATTTTAGAAGTTTAGGGAAATGTGTCTGAGATTATTGGATCACTGTCTCTTTATTTTTCTTTTAGAAATGTGATGTGCTGTGGGAAGACTTCCATCAAAAACTAGTGGATGGGTCCTTGCTGACACTGGACACCTACCTGGGCCAATTTCCTGACATAAAGGTATTTCACTCTCTGTGTGAAGGAAATAATGGAATGGTTTCATGTGGTTATTGAAACTAGAGCAGCAGAGGAGAATTAAAAGTTCTCAAGCTGAAATGAAAGACATTTATAACTTTCATTTAGTTAAGCATGGGTTTTTATTCTATTCCTATTATCGTGAAATGAAATTCAGCTACAGAAATCAAAGTGTCCCTCTTACTGAACACTTCAATGTTTCTTTCTTTGGCAAAGTCTTTTTTATCTACAAGGCTGTAGATACAAACTCAGAAACCAAATGTACCAAAAATCCAAATCTTCATTATAGTCAAACCTTGTGGGATGATCTTCATTAGAATAAATGGTCACAGGGAATGATGAAACCTAACTGTAAATGTGGGGAGAAATCTAATATTTTGCTATTTGCTGCTAATTTACATGTGGTCACAGTGCACCTGGGCATTTTTTTCCATCCTTGAAAATTTCAGATTAAAATTGAAATATAAGCCTTTCAGGTGTATTTGCATTAGGATGTAAGTGCATTATGTTTAATACAATTGATTTAGCTCTTAACTTCCCTGCAAAGGTTAAAAGAAAGAAAGAAACCAATGGTTGAATGCTGTAGATTTGTAACTGACTTTGGGGGTAAAGATAGGTTTAAGCAAATGTCTGTTTGCAAAGATATGCAGCCTTAGCTTCAGCGTTCAAGATGGAGTCAGGGCACACTGTCCTTCTAGCAGGGTGAGGAGGCTATGCTATGGTCCAGCACCTGTGGGCACATGGAACATTCCCTTGCACAAGTCCACTGTGCCTTGGCCTTCTCTGTAGTTGTGAACAAATACCAGGAAACTGTCTGTGGGAAATGCACTGGCCTTGGCGACCCAGTAAAACAAAGCAGCTTCCCTAAAACATCACACAGGGTGAGGACTAGCTTTTCTGCTCCCGCAGGGTATGAATAAGGAGAACTGACCAATATGGAAAGAACAAGTTGCTGCTTCCTGGAGTACTCACTGGGCAAGTACTTAAGTGGTTCTCTCCAACCATGTTCCTCTTGGAGGCTACATGTCAAGGAAACAAATCTGAATGATGGCTTCCCAATGTTAGCATAATCACCAGTGATTTCTTCCCTGTGTTTTCATTTGCTTTGAGTCTCTATGCTGGTATCTACTGATTAAACAAAATAGTCACCTGTCAGCAGACATTGAAGTGTAGAAGGCAGCTACTAGAATTTACTAGGTTCTTAGGTTTCTGATGAGGGACACACAGATAGTGCTAGAAACAGAATGTGTATTGATAAACATAGCACCAGAAAAGTGACTAGAGATCTGGGAAAGGTTAGAAGGTCTGTGGTGTTGATTTTAGGCATGCTGGGAACTGCACTACGAACACTAATGAGCCTGCTATATTTCTTGTCATCTTGTTTCTGGAGAGTTTCTTATCCCCACTCTGCTTTGGTTTCTGATGTGTTCATATTGATGGTCTTGGCCAGACCCTCATAGTCACCCCAGTCAGGTTTTGAGAAATCTGTCAGGCTTTCTGTGGTACAGCCCACTTCCTGTTCTTTTTAAAATAAATGTTATAAAATCCTTGCAAATAAATAAAAATGCTACATATCAAAAATTAGCCAGACCTAAACTCTATGCAACTTAATGAACTTATGTACGTTTAAAATTGGCCTTTGAAATGGAAGCTGTGAAGGTTCACATTAGATTTCACACTTTCAATACTGAATACATTTTACGCACTTATCCACTACCAAATCCATCTACTCTTCAAAATCTCCAGTTATCTAGAGTGAGCTGGACCCCATCAGTGCTGAGACCAAAACCAATTCCATAGGCAATCTCCCTAAAAGTAGAACCATTGCACACTTGTCAAACCTTTTCTTTCTGAAGGAGGAGTCTGGATTTTTTTTAACTTCATTTGCACAGAACTCAGAGAATGGTGATGATGACTAATTCTGTAGTAGAGTCAAGTGTCATCCAAGACCAAACTGGGTCCTCAGTTTGTTGAATAGTTAGTGTCTCAATACTTTTTCAAGACAGGGGCCATCTAGGAATATCATGCAAAAGTCACATAGAAGATCTGAGAGTCTACTCACATAAGAGCTGGGAGTTAGGGCATGACAGCCACATGCCCTGGGCTGTGCCAGGCAATGAAACCACTTCAAGTGACCACACACTTGTTGAGTGTCTCTCCACCAAGGCTTTTCTTTGCACTTGCTGCATAGCTAAGAACCTTTCTACTGATTTCTGTTTTCCACAAGAGAATTGATTGGTAGTTTGAAACCGTGTATCCAGGGGAGAAAGAAAATCTTCTGATATTACCTCTAACACCTGATAGTTTAATCTCTATAAAATCAGTATCTAAAAATTAGAAAAGGATAAATAAAACAGTATTCTCCTACCTGAAAACTTAAATCAGCTTGCAACTTGTCTGATTCTGTTGTCTGTTTGTAGTGTGACTGAACTAAGTAATGTTGGGGTTTACTAGATAAGTAGACAACTGAAAGGCACCTGAATTTCAGAAGGAAAAAATGGGTGCAGTGTTACCCAGAGATAATTATTTTATTGCCTCTGTTTCCTAAAAGTATATAATTACAAAGCAAATATGCACAGAATTACAGGTTTGAAACAAAAACAAAATTGATTACACTGGTTGCTCATATTAGTTTATTTGAAATCAACATGACATAACACTCAGTGGAACTTTTACCTAAGGAGCCTCTTTCTTGCAGCTCATCACTGAATACACACCTGAGTGTGATCCTTCAGTTCCAGCATGTCTAGGGATTGGGAAATAACAGGATTAAGGGCTTCTCCATGCTACTCTGAAGGCAAATGCATGTTGAGGTTTTACATGTGTCATGTGAAGAGGCTGGATCAGTCTCTGCTCTCCTTTTAGCCTTAACTCTCAAGGGCCATTGACAAAATTATCAGCCAAAGCAGAGTACTGGAAAACTGCCTAGCATGACCAGCAATTAAGGGAATATCGTGGATATCTCAGGAAAGAGACAATTGGAGAGCAGACAATAGCTATATTCAAGTGTGTGTGTGTGTGTGTGTGTGTGTGTGTGTGTGTGTGTAAACAGATTTAAATTTTACACATACTCAAGAGTGTGATAGAGAAGTAGGACTAGACTCCATAAAGTTATAAAATTATGGTTGGTGAATATTAGTGAAGGGGTTATAGATGTAAAGGAGCATTAAGTGGAAAGTTTCCAAAGCATGGAACAAAAATGACTTCCTTTACTTCCATTAGAATCAACACGCCATGTGCATTTAAAACCTCAGGCAAATTCCCAAACATTTACTATAGACTATCACAGAGGGCTATGAAGCACCATTCATGAGGATGATATTTGATGTTTGAGTTGTGACTGGCAGGGCACTCTGTGTAATGGTTCCCATTGTGTAGTGCTGACATCTAAAAATCAGCATTATAATTAAAACCCACATGTCACCAACCCAGGCAGGCTTACAGCTGTGCACAATTATTAATAAATGTAGCTTAGAGTCTAAGTTGGCAGCCATGCATGATCAACTAGGCATGTATTTACTTCAGTTTGCAAAAATGAATTCCAAGTTGGGGTTAGAGTTTTCTTTTAAGTGTAATAAATCATTTTCTAAACTAGGCAGAGAGGAATTTTGAGAAATTTTAATTAAATCTATTATTGCTTAACATTTATTACTATTACTTAAATTGACTTAATTAAGTTTACTATTGGGTACCTAATTAGAATTGTGTTATATGAAAAGTTAATCTGAGTTAACTCTGTTCTTATAAAACTTTATTATTTACTTATTTATTTTGTCAAACTCCTAAAATGCCATACTGGAAAGGAAATAAGATTGATTTGTTGCCCCAGCGCAAAATTTTATGTGTTGAGTGAATGACAGATCTTAAAATATTCACTTCCACCCTAGTAAGCTGCCTTCTGTGAGAGCCTTCACAGGGAAATGTCTCACAAGATGCACTTCACTTATTTTTTTGAAGAACCAAATTACCAGTGCACTCTTCCACCTCATTCTGAAGCATGGTAGTAACTAAATTTCAGCTCTTTTCAAAGATGGATTCAATCTTCAATAGCTCAAGATTTGCTATTTGGAAGATATTAAAGATATCCCTAGGGCAGAGGCACATCTGTATAGAAGAGCTCTGGGGACACTGAACGATACACAAGATTGTGTCCCTTAGAAGGAAACAGTAGGGAGCTTGTTAAAAAAAATGAGCTTTATCACTGTTCTGGAACAAGAGGTCCATCAGCCTTGTTGAAGGGATGCACTCTCCCCTGCCTAGGCTAGCTCAGTGACTATCATAAGGCCACTCCGGGTGTGTCTTGAAGCATTTCATTGCCATTTGGAAGTAGTAGAAACATGAAAATATTGTTGGATTGAAAATTAAGATCTGAAGCTGCTCAGGGTGAATAAGCTTCCGAACCTACCTGTCACCAGTGTCAGCGGACTGTGGAGAATCGGTGTTGAATGGCAGGAATAATTAGCAGAGACTGTGGAGGCATTGGGAGTGAGAATTAACAGAGTCCCAGAGGCAGGGTAGAGTTGACAGGAAGTCAGACAGGAGATTGCTCAGAAGGTGCAAATTGGAAGAAAGCAGTCTGTGGCACCTGCTCGCCTTGCACTCCCACACCTGAGAGTCAGCTGCCCTTTTGAGTGTTGTTTCTCTACTCCTGGTGTCAGTCCATCGAGTGGATCTCTGATTTCATTCCTGTTAGGTTCAGACATGGTCCATAGTTCTCCGCAAACTACAGGTTAATCTCCTTAAACTCCAAATTCGCTGAGTAAAATGGGAACAATCCTTACCATAGCCATCCTGTAAGTTGCTGTGAAGTCTCCCGTGGTTACTGCGTTGTACAAAATTATAAGTATATTATTAGTACTGTTTTCCACTCTTGTTAGTATACCCAATTTAAAAGGTTTTCAAATGCCATCTCACAAAATGGTGTTTCTTTTTAGGCCAGCTGGGTATAACCAGAGACGTGTAATGCGTGGCTGTCAACTCCCTTCTCAGGCTAATTAAGTCAGCATCTAAGTCTAGATCTCAGAGTTCAGTGTATTTTGCCCTATTTGTTTACTGGTTCCACCTCTTTGACTAAACATCTTAGTGATTATCATACATTTATAAATACACATTTTCAACTGTCATATTTAACTCCACACAGTTTATACTACTGAATACATCATCTGCAGAGCTCCTGATGTGCTATGATTTACCTGTATTTACCTCTACGTATGCTATTAGCTCCATAACACATTGCTTCTGTTTGCTGCCGCTGCTGTTGTTCAGAATGGGTAGTAGTTATCTTCACACAATTAAAATTAAAGACAGTTATATTTGCCTTGACTTTTACCATTTATATTATTCACTGAATCATGCAGTTCTACTTATTAGGCTAAAATATTATGCTGGGAATGAATTCCCTATTTTTGTTTCTCTGAAATTTTCTTTCACCTTCATTTCTGCAAGCTATTTTTACTGAGAATAGTCTGACTTGAGAGATTTTTATTTCACAACTTATTTTTTAAGTATTTTACAGCTATTCTATTGTTTTGTACCTTATATGTTTTCTAAAGTTTAGTTTGCTGTAGTTCTTATGATCATACTATACTTTCATTGTTTTTAAATTAGTTTTTATCTTAGCATACAAAATTATGAGTTCCATTCTCTCATTTTCATACACATGCACACACACACACACACACACACACACACACACACACACACTTTCCTCCTCCTGTGTTTTTCGTTATTATTGATTTTAAATAGACTGACTAAGATAGGACTAGGTGTTCACAAGTCAATATTTTTCCCTTCTAGGATTCTCAGATCTATACTGTTACTGAGCACTTAGGCTCACAAACCTAATGCCCAGTTTCCCTGTGTTTTAATGCAACTGGGGGGGGGGCAGGAATTGATACAAGAAAATGGATTCATGTACAGTTTGGTCATCACTGTAAACAGGAGACAAACTTCAGTATTTTCTGAGGCAGCAGTAAAACCTCTGTAACACAGAAGCCAGGAAGTATGTGTAAGTTAATTGAACTGTGGAGTAAGATGCTGGAACTGTGAAAAATCTCTTTCCATAAAGCCAGTTCCTCCTTTGACTAGTGCTAGGGCTTTAGCTGTCCTTCCCCATGCATGGGGTTTGGGAAACATTTTAATTCTTTCATGTCCATTGTCTAATTGTTTGACAACTTAGGTGGGGGGGGGGTACAGACTCTGTCTTAGGGTATCATTTTTCCTGCCAGAGCTTCAGCAGAGAATCGTTCATTTGGATTGTATGACCATGTAAAGGGCACAATCCAGAGATGGAGGCGTGTGTGTGTGTGTGTGTGTGTGTGTGTGTGTGTGTGTGTGTGTGTGTTTCTCTCTCTATTCCCCATTCAATCTTCAAAGAAATACCTAGGGCTGGTGGTGGTGGCACACACATTTAATCCCAGAACTCTTTTACCACACAAAGGTTTAGAAGCTTTGTTCTGTCTTTCTTCCTACTCATATTCCTGCTCACCTCTATCTCCTGTTAAAACCCTCACCTTCCATGCCAGTAAGATGGCTCAGCAGGTAGGGGTTCTTGTCACCAAGCCTGGGGACCCACATGAGTTCAATCCCAGAAAGCCACATGGTAGAAAAGAACAGACTCCTGGATTGTTCTTTAACTGTACTCACCCAGGCACATACATATGTAAATACAGCAATTCTTTTAAAGTCTCTTAAAGCATTTGATCTTTGACTTTTGGCAGTTATAGACTCTGACCACATCTCCATCAGTTCATGTGTTTTCCATGTTTGCAGAATCGCATCGCTAAGCGCAGCAGGAAGCTCGTGGATTACGACAGTGCTCGCCATCACTTGGAGGCTCTGCAGAGTTCCAAAAGGAAAGATGAAAGTCGGATCTCTAAGGTAAGGATGGATTCAGTGTGTGACATTACTCTCCAAATCTTAAGGCATGTAGCAGCCTTGTTTTTAAAAATTAGATATTTCTCTTTTAAAGGAAGGCTACAATCAGGATAGAATTCTAACTAAATTATATTTTTCTAAGCCACTTTCATTAAAATAAGCTTTTTTCATGTTATTATACGTGAGATCCATGAATGACACTTACATATCTGAGCAGATCCTGAATGAATTACCCATCAGTTCCCAAGTAAATCAGTAAGATTGTGCCATGGAATTCCAGCCTTTGGGTGATTGCCTTTGTATATGATGATTGAATATTTTTCTCTGTAGTATCTTCTATAGCAAATTACAAGCCTAACTTGAAAATACACCTGGTAATAATTTATACTCTGCATGGAGCTCTGACTTTTCTGTAGGAGCATTTATGAACACTATCCACAGCAGAGATCCATATAGGCAGTATAGCATTTTTGTAGAATCAACAAATCAGACCAAGACTCAAAGAATAGCCATTGGCTTTCTTGTGAATCTTAATATTTCATATTTAATTACAAAGTGGTGTAGATTTCAACAAATACCTCTCCTCGAAGCTGTCTCAGGAAACCACAAGGCTATTCCTGTTTAATATGAAGTGATGCTTTCTGTATCAGAATAGCTTCCCATGTGTGTAAACATGTTGTGTGTCATTTCTAGGCAGAAGAGGAGTTTCAGAAAGCTCAGAAAGTGTTTGAAGAGTTCAATGTTGACTTACAAGAAGAATTACCATCGTTATGGTCAAGGTAAACATGCTTCTGCTCCAGTTTGCACATACCCACTTTGACAGTTCAAGAGGAGTGGCTTTCCCCTGTGTCACCTTCCTTGCCTATAATATTTCTGTGCTGTCTGGGAGAAGTACTGTATTTATGCTTTCCAATATGGAAGCTACTTGTCACATACACCTGCTGAATACTTGGCTTATGCTTGGGAGACTGAGGAATGAAATTTTATATTTATTTTGTTGCATCTCATTTTAATTAAATAGCCGTATGTGCCTGGCAGCTATTTAGACACTGATATGTTTCTCAAGTGGAGACTCAAACTTTAAGAGAATTTCCCCTAACCTTAAGACTTACAGTAAGACCCCTTCCGCTCTTATTTCCCTTATTCTAAGACCTCTTCTAGTCATCTGACCTTGCTCTTTGGATTTTTAACCTGAGCTATATTCCTATTTCAGCCACAAAGTGCAGTTCTGATTTACAGGCATTTCACAGTTTTTGTGGTACCAAGAGAGATTTATATGGTTTATTCCATTGTCATTGCTCAGTGGTGGAACCAGGAAGTTCCTGGAAGCAGGGATGCCTTATGTTCCTCAGTTCTCATCAGCAGTTCCAGGCCACCAGCCCCTCCAACAGAACTCTGCTCGCCATGCTGTATTAGTTTTAGTCAATCTCTTCCCCATACCTTCCAAATAGCTGGTGGCCCTGAAGAAATTAAACTCACATGCAGGCTTAATTTCCCACTGCTTTTATCTGAGGCTCTCTAACTGAAATTGCACACAGTCATGATTTTTCAAAAATACATAGCTCTTTTCCCATTTACATTGCTCAACCCTGAAATTGAAGTCAGTACTTTTAATCTTCACTGTCTCCTATGGGGAAATGCACAGGACTGGCCATGCAGCAGGGAACATGTATTCAGTGATAAATGCTTGAATCCCTGCATCAAACTCAGACATTCTGAAATTATTCACTGTGTTCAGTTGTGCTGTGGTGTTCATCCAGTCCTCTCTTCTCTGTCTTCTGCCTAATTATTCTATTTATCACTGAAGCTGAGTTATTGACATCAGCTATTTTCAGGCCCATTTTCCTCTTCAGTTCTGCCAGCTTTTTAAAAATATATTTTACTCCCTTTTCAGATGTGCATAGTATTGAGGATATTATCCTTACAAAATGTCCTATGTTTTGGTTTGCTTGCTTTGAGACAGGGTCTCATATAGCCCAGTCTGCCTTTTAACTTGATTTATAGCAAAGGATTACTTTGAATTCCCAATCCCCTTGACTTCACCCCCCTCCCCAAATGCTGGGATTACATGTGTACACCACCACATGAAGCTATAAAGTGTCCTCTTTTATCTCTCTTAATACATGTACCTGATACCTGCTTCAGGTCTCTGTTGCTCACTCTTTACATGGTACCCTCCTCATCACCCTTTTCTTTTCTTTTTTCTTTTTCTTTTTCTTTTTTTTTTGTTTTTTTGTTTTTCGAGACAGGGTTTCTCTGTGTAGCTTTGGAGCCTATCCTGGCACTTGCTCTGGAGACCAGGCTGGCCTCGAACTCACAGAGATCCATTCATCACCCTTTTCTATTATTTTCTTTCACTCTGTTTGCATCTCTGGATCTAAAAGGTGGATGGTATTAAGATGGATGCTTGTCTTTAGTTTGTTCTTTGCTTATTTTGTTCATCATACATTTCTTCCATGCAAAGGGAATTGTTTCAAACATTTGGCTGTATAAAGAATAAAAGTATGATCTGTGGATATGGCTCACTCAGTGATGTGCTTGCCACACAAGCATGAGAACCTGATGTCAGATCCGCATTGCCAAATAGAGCGGGCATAGTGGCATGCATTTGTAACTCAGCATAAGGGCCAGAAACAGATGGATCACTGAAGTTCACCAGCCACCAATCATGTCAATTAGTGAGCTGCAAGTTCAGTGAGAGACCTCATTTCAAAATATGAGATGAGAAGTACACTTCTGGTCACCCTACACAATCAACAAATGCATTCACACATAATCAACTGCATAGAGGAAGAAATGGTTGCAAAAGATTGTATTATTTATTATTTATTTGGGGAAGTAGCTGGAGGTCGAACTTAGAGTCTCATTCACACTACAGAAGTATTCTACCTCCTGACCTATATTTATATTTTTACCAAACTTGTGATTCTTTCGAGATGGTTATAAAGTATTCATATAAAGATGGAGGATGCTGTAGGGGATACTTAAGATGAATATTTTGAAGTCAGTATTTGGTAAGCAAATATTCCAAGATGGTGAGTGCACAAATAAAGGCGTGGGTATTACAGATTTTTGATTCTTGGAACGTCTTTTAATTTTTTAATGTGTTTTGGTATTTTACCTACATGTATTTCTGAGTACCACATGTATCTGGTAGCCATGAAAGCCAGAAGAAGGTGTCAGGTCCCCCAGAACTGGGAAGTTAAGAATGATTGTGAGCTGCCATGTGAGCACTGGGAACTAAACTCAGGTCCTTGGGAAGAGCAGTCAGTGCTCTAAACTGCTTAGACATCTCTTGAACTTTAGTTCTTGGAAGTTTAATTAATGTAATATGGCATGAGGTTAATTAGAAAACAAATTCTAAGGATGGAATTATAGGGAAAGAGTAGGCCAAAGGCTAAGTTTAGATTCACTTATTTATCAAATTTTTATTGGTTACTCACTGCTTGTCAAACTTCTTTGATGTGTTATAGATCTTATACTGAGAGTTGTATTTTCTTACAGCCTACGCTGAAGGATAAGAAATAACAAAAAGTAAAATGTCAGACAAAAATAACAAAATGGAGACTGACATTGCTGGTTGATCACTGTAACTTCAGTGATGTGGACTGCTTCACTCAAATGTTTAGTGCATAATGAAAATGAAGGTTTGGGAATGCACTGAGTTCCATCTTACATTTGCTGTGTTTAAAGAATCATTAGGAAGCCTGTTAAGGTATCAGTGTCTGGGGCTCGGAAAGGAGGATAGGAAACACTAAGTATGGATGATTAGATGCCCAGATGCCTGAGTGGCAATATGAAGCAATGTGCAGTATCAGGAAGCCCTGAAGGAAAACCTGTGAGGAAATAATCAGAGCTCTATCAGGACCCTGAAATTATAGAATCTCAAGAAGCGAGTGACCAGAGAACACTCCAATGATGAATGCATTCCAGGAGTGCCCGTGACAATAGGAAGTTCAAATACAGGGGAACTAATGATACTTCACCTGTGCTGAACTACCAGAGAGGGATCAGTGGGTAGAAGGATCAGCGGCCCATGGCAGGCATTGATGACTCCATCAGATGTGAGGGAACAGCACACTGGATATCTCTGGTTTGAAAATCTTGACTTAAGGATAGGCATGAGGAATCATACAGCAAATATAGAGAGTTGATAGAACAAGGTAAACCTTTGAAAATCAACTCTTGGCCATTTGAGAAGATGGCAGTGCAAAGGGGGACATTTGACCTGAGAATGTGTGGGATGAGTAGTGGATAGGAACTGCATAGGGGTGTTGATAGAACTGGCCAGATAGGACTGGGGGGCTATTTTACATGATTCTGGCTTGACAAGGACTGGTCCCCAGTAGACTCGTTGCTTGGAATAAAGAAATAGTGATCTCATATACATGGTGGAGGATTTTGGTGCTTCCAGTCATAAATGGGATGTCTTCATCAAAGTCTTCCTCTCCTTAAGGCTCAGGGATCTTTGTGGAAGAAGAGGCATACAGATTGTAAAAGCCAGAGATGATGGATGATTCCAAGGAAACAGTGTCTTCTAGACACAACAGGATTGATGCACATATGAACTCACAGAGACTGTGATAGCATGCACAGGACCTGCACAAGCTTAAGACAGAGAGAGTACCAGCACAGAGAAGGGGAAGTGAACATGGGCTCCCACCCCTAATCAAGAAGCTATCTGCAACTTCTTGTCTTGTTGGGACTTTATTATCTAATTGGTCTTTTGTTTGTTTCATTTTGATTTCTGTTTTTGTGGTTTTGTGAAGGTTTTAAATGCATGTGTTCTGCTTTTGTTTTTGTTTGTTTTAGTGAGAAGTAACATTTGGGTCGGCAGGGTGGTGGGGAAGATCTAAGAGGCATTGGGGGGGGAGAAAACATAAAAACATATTGCTTGAAAAAATTGAATTAAAAAGTTCAGAAAAAAAAAAAAAAAACAGAAAGAGGGCCGGGCAGTGGTGGCGCACGCCTTTAATCCCAGCACTCGGGAGGCAGAGGCAGCCGGATCTCTGTGAGTTCGAGGCCAGCCTGGTCTCCAGAGCGAGTGCCAGGATAGGCTCCAAAGCTACACAGAGAAACCCTGTCTCGAAAAAAAAAAAACAGAAACAAACAAACAAAAATAAAAAACAAACAAAAAACAGAAAGAGGTGGTAATCATACACAAGTTTTAAAAATAGGGTCATAGGTGCTTGCAAATGTAATGAGGGATTTTTTCCCCCTGGAATAGGTTAAATGTGAGACCCTGGGTTGCTCAGCCAATAGAAACAGCTTGACAGATATATCAAAGCTTCCTTCTTCAAACTTTTCACTAAAAAGGAAAATATTATAAGGAAACACTGAGACATAGAATTTCATTTATTCATCTTCTCTGGAATTTACTCATTGAAAAATAAACTCAAAACAATATTCACTGTCATGGTTTGGATGAAAAATGTCCCTCATAATGTTCAACATTTGAGCACGTGGTCCCTGTTGGTGGTGCTGTTTGCTGAGGTTTGAAGTAGTGAGTCCTTGTTAGAGGAAGTATGTCACCAAGGATGGTCTATGAGAGCTTAAGGCATCACCTTACAAGTTGTTTCTCTTCTTCATGATTGCTCTTTAAGATGTAGTCTCAGATTCCTGCTACTGCTGCCATGCTGCTATCACCATTACAGATTCTTGTCACTCTGGAATTGTAAGCCTGGTTACAATCTCGTCATGATGTTTTATCAAAGCAGAAGACAAGTAACTACCCATCTTCCTGGCCAGCTCACATGTGTCCTCTCAAGTAGATGTTTGCAGCTGGGTTTCTTTAGATGTTTGTGTCGATACCCATTCATTTTTTATATTTGTTAGCATAGGAGCTACAAGGGCATCTTGCCATTCCCATGTGGTTTTATACATTGCTTTTATAATTTAAGAAAAATTGATCCAAATGCTCACTGAAATTCCTTGGTACCATTTGAGCTTACTACTATGGATGTACCAAGAGTTTTGTAGGTTTTGTTGAGTAATTACAAACAAAGGTTTGATTATATCCTAAGAAAGTGGGGTTATATATTCCATTTTGAACCTCCAGAAACATTTCTCAGCTAGTGAGTGGTTTCCTCTATACAGCCTTGTCAGAGTGCCCACACTGTCTCTCCTTTCCCATATAGCTATGTCTGACCTTGTCTCTTCAAATTCAAGTGCAAAGTATGTCCTTTCTCCTATCTCAAAGCATAATCTACATGCTTCTTCTAGTCTGTGAATAAATGTGACTTTCAGCCTGGCAAGGGCCTCCCCCCTTGAGATCCAGCTGCCTCTCACCTTCTAGTGTCTCATCTGAGTCATTACTGTTTCCCAAACACATTATGCCAGGGTTTTTATTACCATTTTCTTATATGCATAAGTATATGTACGTGTGAAAATGCATATATTTGTCCCCTGTATTTGTGTAGAATTGGTTCCCAGAACCCCCAGGGGAAAGCAAAAATCCATGGCTACTGAAGCCCTTTACATAAAATAATGTAATATTTGTGTATAACTTCCTATGCACAATCATCTCTAAAGTACTTAGAAGACTTAATGCCATGATAAAATTATGCAAATAGCTGTTGTAAATTGTTCAGAAAATAAGATGGAGAAAGAATACAGTTTGTTCGGTGCAGATGCCCTCTGTTTACTGATGGTTTTAATCCATGGGTGGTTGAAACACAGTGTACAGAACCATGGATACAAAGAACCATCTGCATGCATATATATGGAAAATATGGGATTTGAAGTAGTTACAAAAATATGTGAAGTCTGGGTCACATGGTGACTATTGGTATAGGAAATAAGTGTAACGTGGCAGGGATTACTGTATAAGATAAGCCACAGAAAAATAATGCCTTATTTATGGGACAGATTTACCTACCATTGAACTGTCACTTCATTTCAGAGTTCTTAAATTTGGCTCTAAGATTTTATTTTAGTTAAAATTCAAAAACATCTAATTTAAGCTGATACTGAAATTATAAACATCATTGTTATAGTAAAGGATTCTATGATTTTTTATTACATTTTCCTCTTTGGGGGTTTTATATTCTATATATATATTATTTTTATAATGGTAATTAGACCAATTTAAACTAGAAACAAGCTTGTTTTACATGTCAACCCCAGTTCCCTCTTCCTCCCCTACCCCTGCTGCCCACATACCCCCTATCTCATCCCCTTTCTGCTCTCCAGGGAGGGTGAGGCCTTCCATGGGGGATCTTCAAAGTCTGTCATATTATTTGGAGCAGGGCCTAGATCCTCTCCCATGTGTCTAGGCTGAGAGAGTATTCCTCTATGTGGAGTGGGCTCCCAAAGTCCATTCATGTAATGGAGGTAAATACTGACCCACTACCAGAGGCCCCCAAAACTGCCCAGGCCTCCTGATTGACACCCACGTTCAGGGGCTCTGGGTCAGTCTTATGCTGGTTTCCCAACTATCAGTCTGGGGTCCATGAGCAACCTGTTGTCCAGGTAAGCTGTTTCGGTGGGTTTCTCCAGCCTGGTCTTGACCCCTTTGTTCATCATTCCTCCCTCCTGCAACTGGATTCCAGAGTTCAGTTCAGTGTTTAGCTGTGGTGGTCTACTTCTGCTTCCATCAGCTGCTGGATGAAGGCTCTAGGATAGCATATAAGGGAGTCATCAATCTCATTTTCAAAGAAGGCCTTTTAAGGTAGCCTCTCAACTATTGCTTAGATTGTTAGTAGGGTCATCCTTGTAGATCTCTGGACATTTCCCTAGTGCCAGAATTCTCTTTAAATCTATAATGCCTCCCTCTATTATGGAATCTCTTTTCTTGCTCTCATCTATTCTTCCCCTGACTAAATCTTCCTGCTCTCTCATGTCCTACTCTCACCTCCTCTTCTCCCCTTCTCTTTCTTCTAGCTCCCTCTCCCCTCCTCCATACTCCCAATTAGCTCAAGAGATCTTGTCCCTTTCCCCTTCTCTGGGGGACCATGTATGTCTCTCTTAGGGTCCTCCTTGTTTCCTAGAATCTCTGTTGGTGTGTTACCCTGGTTTTCTCTTCCTGTGAACTGCATAACACTGGACAGTTAATCTCCATTTATTTTTTTCTAGTAAATGAGGATTACTGCTCCAAGGGATTAGTGTGAGCATCAAATAAGGGAACAAATAAAAGCACCTTGATGGTTCCTGGTTCCATCCACCCTCATTGTTTTTCCATTACTATACACTGCAAGGTTCTGCTTAAGCAAGAGATCATTAAGTTTCCTTTTTTTAAACTGAGAGTTCAGATCTAATTAAACAATCAGGATACTAGTTATTTTTGAGAATTTTATTGAAACAATAAAATGAATTAAAGTTGTTGTTACTCAGATGAGTTAAACAGAATAAAGTAAAATAGAGTCCAGATATTTTCATTTGAAATTTATCCTTGGGTGACAGGCTAAGTCCCCATTTGGCATTTGTGCTTACTCTTAGGGATCTCAGATGAAGACAGATGGAATTTGCCTCATGTCCCAGCATCTTCCCATAATTTCCCTTTCCAAATGTGTTTGAGATATTGCCAATGGGCAGCTTGTGTACTCAACAGCAAAGAAAAGTTAGGCTTACTATAAGATGTTACTAAATCCAACATTGTTCAAAATTATGTATAGGAAGCAGTCTTAATATGCTATTTCATTGCCATTAAAATCCATTTTTTTTTCTAACTGGTTTCTCCTTTGGGTTTCTCCATGGTAGACGAGTTGGCTTTTATGTCAATACTTTCAAAAATGTCTCCAGCCTCGAGGCCAAGTTTCACAAGGAAATTGCAGTGGTGAGTAATGGTGACTGTGTCCCTTATGGAAGGCAATGCAAAGGAAGCAAAGGGCATGGCACACAATCACAGACTAATTTACCCTCTTACATGGTTCCTGTAGCAGTGGTTTGTCACTACTCTCTGCACGAATCACACTGCTTTTTGCCATTCGTAAACACACAGATCTCTATATCCTTCCAAAGTTTTATCATAGCCTTACTATCTTGTTTTCCTCTTCTGTTGGTTGAAGTTGAAATTTCAAGTGATGTTCTAACTTGATGAAAAATTGGTCTTAATAATATTCAGAAAAGCATCAGCCATGTTGATTACTATTGTTTTTGTAGTTAGGAAACCGTAGGACTATTTCTAATAGAATTAAGACAACCAGTTTTTCTCTTCTGCTTTATATTCTAGTGAATACATATTTGATTGATTTAGTGTTTGGTTTATTTCTTCTTAGCTGTAGATTTTAAATTTGATATATGGAATTGCAAGTACCCTGAGACCAATCTAATTCTTAGAGTAATTGTAGCCTCTCATTAAATGATTTCTTTCTTAGAGAGAATAGCATGGGTGGGCACTAGGATGTCCTGTAGCTAATAGGCCTATGTCCCTTTAGCTTTGCCACAAGCTCTATGAAGTGATGACGAAACTTGGTGATCAGCATGCTGACAAGGCCTTCAGCATTCAAGGAGCTCCCAGGTAGGCCACTGTTCCTCAGAGCTAGTTCTGTTTCATGTGCGAGTGATGTGCTATTCATTGAATTTTCTGGAGTCTGGAGAGCACATTATATTGTTTTATATACCTTGTAAAAGTCTAAAAGGACCCTTCTCACCAAGAGCGATCCCAACCTTAGATTTTGGGCTTTTATACTTCCTTCTGGCCTTCAGATACCTCAATATGCTACTGATCATTGTACAAGTAAGTAACTGCCTCTCTGGTTTACATGGGACCTGAGAGCAATAGTGTGAGATAGTGATCATTTCTACTTGTTACTTTACCCAGAATAGAAAATATTCAAAGACTACAAAGTTGTATGCTGATTCTTATCTGTTGAAGAAAGGAAGGAAGTAGGAAGACCTCTCTACCCTCTATCTCTGCCTTGCATTTACCGCTCAACATGACTTTATCATGATTCCATTGTCTGTTGCTGTTAGTGTGCCAGTAATAGACTGAGGGTCCAGTGGTACATCTTAGCTGTTTACCTTGATTTGATTGTATGCCTACTTTCTCTTATGATTTTGAAGTCTCTTTTATCCCACCCATGCTTAGCAAGCATCAGAAGCCCTTTAGTTTCTAAAGGGTTAATTTGCCTCTGTGGTCAATTGGTTCTGTTTTCCTTGCTGAAGTCCAGTAACCTGTATAGTTAAAAAGCTCATTTTAAAAAATTGATAGAAAAAGTGGAGTGTTGTGGAATGAAATGGTTTCTAAGGTGATGTTCAGTTCTAAGATTCTACACTTGTAGGTTTTATATCAGTCATTGAAAACACTCATAGGAATATACTTATAGTATTATTCACAAACATATGCAGTGCCAACCTCTCTATATGTCAGTGTGTGATGACGGCTGTTTTGATCACTTGCTACTCCTGAGACTGGCCATAACTGTGCCCCTGCTGTGGCTGCCAGAGTAGCAAGTGTGTCTTCTCTCTCCAAGGGAAGGACATCACCTAAAAGGAGCCAGGAAAGAGACAGAATTGTGGATCCAACATTGTTTGAATATCCAAATGACTTTTGGTTATTGTAAAAGCAAAGTACATAAAGAAACCAAGAATGACTTCCTCACATGGAAATGAAATCAACAGTTAGTTATATTTGGAAAATACCAGTTTCAAAATCAGCTAAAGCAAGAAGTAGGATCATGGCCACTTAACAAATGTCTCTTTTTTGTTCTTCTTTCTTCTTATTCTTAATCTTGCTTTTTATTTATTTATTTATTTTTTACATTCCTCTGCAGAGCAAGGTGGTGAGTTAGCTCTCTGGGAAGTCTCTAGAGATTAGATTGGTAGTATTTCCAGTCAGAGGTCATGATTGCTGGCCCAGAGCTCCAATCATGTAGATCAGTGGTTCTCAATCTGTGGGTCATGACCTCTTTGGGGGTCACATATCAGATATCCATTATAATCTATGACAGTGGCAAAATTATAAAGTAGCAATGAAATAATTTTATGGTTGAAGGTCACTACAACATGAGGAACTGTATTAAAGGGTCACAGTATTAGGAAGGTTGAGAACCACTGATGCAGTGTCTCCTCTCTGAAGAGTACACTCCTTTAGCTCTTGAATGTGTAGACCATGCTGCTGTGTCTGTTCTCTTATTTAGATCACAGACTCTGTTCCTTCTGGCTGCTATCTTAGAAGTTCTTAGAGAGTAGGACGTGTCCCGGTTGCCATCTGAGTCATCATGTTAAGCTGTCCCCAAGCACCTGGCAAGGTGCCTAGAACATGGTGGTTTCTCAGGAAGTTATGGAATCTCACCTGTCATGTGGTCTGCTGGCACATTGCAACGTGTCTGAGTTAGTCATTGTTTCATAAAGCATGGAAAAAAGTAACGGGTGACTCCTCCACTCTCACAGAAGATTTATTAACACTCTCCAGAGATGCCTTGGAAAACAAAAGTGACAGTTTTCTGGGTAGCTTTTTATAGATTGTGGCATGACATGATTCTCCTGTCTATCAAAAGTGAAGCTGGTTTTATTACTATATCTTATGTTGGGAAATCTTTGAAGCTTGTTTGACATGTGGAGAGAACAAGGCATTTGTACTAAGATCTAAATGCAAATATAGTAAAACACTGTTTCTTTCTTATTTTTAACTTATTTACACTCTGCCTTTTGCATATCTAATGTGGGGTCAAAATTGCATGGCTGATGTAAAGAAAAGTGATCATGCATGGCTGGGTTCTGGCTCATAGGGAACAATTTAAGTGGTGCCAGTTGTCAGCATCTATTACTATTGGTAACAATTAGAATTAGCCTGGAAATGGGGAATAAAATAACAATGATATTAAGCTTCAGGATTTCTCTGGGATAAAGAATCTTGGGTCACAGGAGTCCTGCTTCTCAGAAGACCTCTTGCTCAATCCTCTGTGTCCATCCAGTGATTCCGGTCCTCTTCGCATTGCAAAGACACCATCACCCCCAGAGGAGCCTTCACCCTTGCCCAGCCCAACAGCCAGTCCCAACCATACACTAGCACCTGCGTCTCCTGCCCCAGTGCGACCCAGGTCACCTTCACAGGTAGGAAGTGTATACAGGGGTCATGGTAGAACTCATGGGTAGGTGATTTTCTCGGGCATCATTCTGTGGTGACAAGGTATTATAAAATGTTTCTGTGGCAAAACTAAGGTATGAGATAGTAGACATTAGTACCACTATGATCAGTCTGTTTTTCTATTTGATTTTTTGCTTCTATTCTGAGTGATTGATTCCTTTGGACCATCTTGCCCAACCCCAGCTTCTTGAGCTGTAAAGTACTTATCTCTACTTTCTCTTGCAATCCTGCCTTTCAGAGGCTGGGGGTCTATTCAATGATGGAACAATTGCTTGGCTTACCACATGCTCTGAGTTCAATTATTAACCTTGAAAAACAAAAATCACATCTTCAAAGCTCCATTTATTCTGCATTCTTGCTGGACCTCCTTTTCAGTGCTGGAGGCTACACTGGAGTCAAGGACTACCCAGGACTGCAGTAATGTTTGGTATTCCATCACCTATATTGTGTTACATATGAGTAAGTGATCCCTCAGTAAAAACAAGTTAAAAGAAATTATAAGGACCAGGCAAAGGGAATTGAAAAGGAAAAAATACCACTTGATTTCCCTACATTGATTGAAAACAACATTTCTGTAGGGACATTCAGCATCCATGGTCCAGTATAAGCTTTAATAAATATGGCTGAAGCTGAAAGTTGTAAGAAGATACATGCAATAGACTGTAAAGTTCTCATTTCAAAATCCTGGAGTGCAAAGTGAAGTGGAAGTTGGTCTCATTGATTCAATTGGAAAAAAGCAAACAAACAAAACAAAACAAAAAATGGGCTTAATTTTTGTTTTGAAATTCTGATTTTCGGTGGACAAGAGATATCATCTGTAGTTGAGCTGAGAGAATGTCTTGCCTCCATGTGACATCATCGGTCCTGCAGCCCTGGGAAGTGCTCAAATTGAGATGCAAGGACTCTTAGGTCATGACCATTCCAATGACTTCTTCCAATTAGACCATTGCTTGTCAGTGTTCAGAGAGCCCCCTAAGTGGACAGGATTCCTGACTTGAGCCAAGCAGGCTTACACCTATGGACAGTTCAGTTTCTTTCAGAAGTCTGTCTGATGGCACAACATCTCTGGCTACCATGTTTCTATTTGATGCTTCCTAGACAAGGAAAGGGCCTCCTGTTCCACCTCTGCCTAAAGTCACCCCAACTAAAGAACTGAAGCAGGAGAACATCATCAATTTCTTTGAAGACAACTTTGTTCCAGAAATCAATGTGACAACACCTTCCCAGGTGAGTGCTCTGGGATGTCTGTGAAAGTACCATGATGGCAGGGAATTTCAGGGCAGCTGCAGACAGAGAAAGCAGCAGATATTGAGCCATTAGTAAGATATTGTCACTTGGGCTTGCTTTATTTGTGTAAAAAGGATTACATGCACAATGTATAGATTTGAGTATGCTAATATTTACTGAGTAGAATATTATTTATTGCAGAGCATATTTTGAAAGCACAAAATGAAGAGTCACTGTCATCTTACCATTCTGACGTAACCATGAGTACACTTTGGCCTGCTTTCTTTCAATCTGTCTTCCCTCCCTTGAGAATTTATCAATTTCATATTTTAAGAATTAGGCTGTATTGTTATGCAGTCCTAATGTTGCTACTTCAGTTTGCTGGTCATTTTTATTTCACAAAAGCATTGTCTTTACCAAAGCATTGACCTTTACTATCCTATCAACTGGACTTAGCAACCTCTGATTCTTAGACACACATGTTTATTTCCAGATTGCATCAGCCTACACATTTGCTACTAGCCAAAGACTTTTTCTGGTTCTCTATATTAACAATTGCACTGAGCATATTTTAGGCTGGCTTGTCCTTTCTCAGTTGCTTTTACCTATGTCCACCCGTAGCCTCCTCTCAATTCCATCACATGTAGGGACTTTTAGTCCTCTAGAAGCCTGTGTACTTAGCTGAGGACATCCCTGTCTAGGAGATGAGGCTACTTAAATGGCAAGAAGATGACACACAGAGTAGTTCAGAAGTAAAGATGAGGTTTAGAAGTGTTCTTTCTTTTAAGTGTTTTTATTTGAAGTTTTCTGGCTCCCTTACAAGGACCCTCATGGTGGGGAGAGGGAGAATCAAGGTACTTTTGAAAATTACAGATGCCAGGAGTGTCCTCAAGTGCTTCTGGAAGCATTAACTCTTGCTTGAGTGGAAGAGATGGGAGCAGGGTTGGTTAGGGGAGGGGAGAGGGAGCCCTTCAGGATGGAAGCTCAGTTGATTTTTGAAATTAAAACCCACCAGAAACATATGGCAGTCTATTGGGGGTGGGAGACATTATTTAACCTGTTTTATTTTAATCTAAGAGGGAGAAAGAGGAGGGATTCTGGTTTATCTGAAAGGCACTCTGGCTCCAGTAGCTGGATCACAGAGCATGAAATCCAATATTTCCATTCACCAAATGGATCCTGTTTTCACATCAAGATGTGCAGAGATGTGAAATGGAATTTATATTTTAGTTTGTCATCTTGAGTTATTAAGTGGAAAAATCTAGTTTATTTCAAATAGAAACTGCCTTTTTGCAGTCTTTTTAAATATTTTGCTCAGTTGCTTCTTCTTCTGTGGCTGAAAGCAACATTGTGATTCATTTTTAACACATCTAGCAGTCTCTAGTCTTGGGACCTCACTTGGAGAGATGGAAGTCTACATGGTCCAAATCAGTGATGTTGACTGCTGCAGTGACTTAACATATTCTGTCCTCTGAGCTGCCTAGGCAAGCCACTGCCATTTACAACTGTCCCACTTAAAACAATTTTACTTCAAGTGTTTCATGTAGGATTTTTGGACACATACATGTTATATGCTTATAATATTAGATGCATTGAAGACTGTATATCAGGACTTATAAGCTAACGAATTGTATATTCAGGGTGATAATATTTTGAGCAATGCACAGATGAATGGATAATAAAGGAAAGATAGCAAATTCTTGATGAAAAATGAAGTATTGATAACTAGAAAGATGAAAATTTTCTGAAAAGATTTCTCCCTACATTGATGCAGAATGATTCTTTTCAGTTTTTTTTCTAAGTGAGTCATCCTGCATTTAGAAGATAGTTTATGGCTGCAAATGGCTATTTTTATCATGCACTTAATGGAAAAGAAAAATGCTTGTGTTCATCCTGGCCAGATGCTGCAAATGTAAGAAGTAAAATCTATCCTGTCTGATGGAAAAATCGTCTCAGCAGCAACACATTCCCAGCTGTGTGCTTGGGGCTGAGAACAGAACTCCAGCAAGCCTGCAGAGCCCTCTCATGGCCCAAACCTTAGAGATAGCTCAGAACTTCCTGTGGGAAATGCTTTTTGCGTACTCATAGGACACTATGGAATGTTAGACCAAAATGCCTTTCTGATTTCCTAGCTTTTTTGTTCACAAAATGAAACTGTTAAAGGATAGCTCATCCTTTCTTAAACTTTCCTCCCAAGAACTTAAACAGTAAAAAGCAATCATGTGCATGAATCCATTATTATGCTTTATTTTATCAATTCTTTGAGGATTTCATAACTGATATTTTGGTACTAATTCACTCCTTCTATAATTCCTCCAAGATCCACACCACACTCTTCCCTACTCATCAAACTCTGACAACTTCTTCCTCTTTCTCTTCCTTCTCTTCTGCCTCTTCTCCTTGTCTTCTTCCTCTGCCTCTTATTCCTTCTTTTTCATTTTCTTCTTCAGGTACAGTTTGTGTTGGCCCCACGTATTCTTGAGGTCATGGCCTTCCACTAAAATGTGGTCAATCTGCTAAATACCACATCCTTAAAGAAAATTGACTCTCCCTGTCCCCAAAGCTGAAGCTATCAATTTTGGTAGCTCCTCAGCTAGCGGTGGGACTTTATGCACATACACCCTTTCCATGCTGAAATTCTGTCTGGCTTGAGCTTATGCAGGTGTCGTGTGTGCTGTCACAGCTACTGTGAGTTCATATGTGAAATTGCCCTGTTGTGTCCACAAAAGAGTTTTCTTGTCTGGCTATTGTACTCTGTCTGCCACCTCTTCCACAATGATCCCATTTATTTTAACAAGTTGTGGGTCTCTGTGTTAAGTGCCATCTACCACAAAAAAGTGTCTCTGACAAGGGCTAAGACATGCCTTAATCTGTGAATATAAGCTTATTTCATTATGATTTGGTTTAATCTACATCCATTTAGTAGAATAATAGTAGCAGGCTTTCCCATAGTCTCTCTGACCTGTCTATCCTCAGGCTTTTGGCCCAATAGTGGCACCAGGAATAATTTTTGTTTTTGTTGTTGTTGTTTTATTATGTACACACTCTTCTGCCTGCACTCCAGCAGAGGGCACCAGATCTCACTCAAGGTGGTTGTGAGCCACCATGTGGTTGCCAGAAATTGAACTCAGGACCTCTGGAAGAACAGTCAGTGCTCTTAATCGATGAGCCATCTCTCCCGCCCCTCAGGAATAGATTTTTAACTTGAAGAGTAGGTCTTAAATCCAATCAGAAAGTGATTGGTTACTCCCATGATATCCATGCCACTGTTGTACCAGTGGGCATTTCTTTTCTTTTTTTAAAGGATAACTGGTTTATTTTAGCTCACAATTCCAGGTTATCATCTGTGGTGCCATTCTATTTATGATATAACAAATGAGCTTGCCTGAAGATCAGAGTGCAAAGTTAGTCACACTAGCTAGTCACAGAGGCCAGGTAGTGGTGGCACATACCTTTAATATCAGCAGCCACACTAGTTAGCCATTGAGGCCAGGCAGTTGTGGTACACACCTTTACTCCCAGTGCTCTGGAGACAGAGGCACATGGATTTCTGTTGGTTCAAGGCCACCCTGTGCTACACAAAATTGATCCAGTCTAAAAGAGAAACAGAGCTCACATAAAGGTGATCTTAGCACTTGAGATCCCACACCTTTAATCCCAGAATTAGCAAGGAATATAAGGCAGGAAGAGACAGGAGCTGGGAGAATTCTAAGGTTTGGTGGAGAACAGAGCAGTCTGAGGTTCATTCCTTTGGTCCGAGCATTAGAAGAGGTGAGAACTCTCTACTGGCTGGCCGCTTGGGGTTCAGTTGGGGTTCTCTTAAAATGAGATCCTTTGATAAGAACTGCACTCATATGTGGGTATAAGGTTTAGTAGTTGGAAGGCAACTGGACACTGTATCTGTTTGGCAAATTGGTAGTAGTAGGTCTTCCTCTAGAGTTTATGACCTCTCTAGCTGTGACTTCTAAGCTAGTTTCCTACATGTATCTAACACAGATTCCCTACTATTCAGTGGATCTTGGTACAACCAAATAGCTGTTGGTTGCCCCAAGATATCAGTGTGGCTATTGCATCATTAAGCATCTCTTGCCAGACCATTATTGTCATGTGTGTATTTCATGGGATTTACAGTTTATGACTGTTGATAACTTCCCCAGCAGCCTCTATCCAATAATCCATAAATATGATTAGAATTCCAAATTTGTTCAGAAAAACATTGTAATTCATGATGAGAAAAAGGAGGGGGGAATGCGAATAGAGGAGAAGGTGAAGGATGATGAATAGGAGGAGGACAAAGAGGAAGATGACTAAGAAGAAAGGAAGAGGGAAAGGGGGAGGAGAAGGAAGAGAGCAAAGAGTTGAGTAAGGTTCTTTCATGTGCTGATTTAGCACATTCCCACAGAGTTCTGGGTTTAATAGACAGTGACAGACATTTCCCTGAGGTGCTTTTCCATCAGAATGATTCAGAGCTGCTTTCCACATGCTGCCCAACTCTTCCATTATTTTGGTTTCTAGATTTGATTAATAAATTTGTGTTCAATGGAAGCAAAGAGCTTGCCTTGTGTTACCCCTTTTTTCTAATAGTCTATGTGCAATGTTGGAAACATGATACTTTGGTAGGCAAACCTTTTCCAAAATTCTATATGGGGCATTGTTGGAATTATAAAATATATATTATTTATTCCTCCTCACACACTTATATAGTATATTTTGATGATAGCCATCTCCAAATCCCCTCTTCAACTCCTCCCAGGCCCCTCCTACCACTTCACCCTTTCAACTTTGTGTTCCATATTTCCAAAGGACATGGTAATCAGTTTTAATGCTCGAATTATTAACAAAAGAAGTATTTTGGGAAGAAAAATGTCTATTAAAGACTAATATTGGAGCATATATATGAGATATATTGGAGCATATGTATCTATCATGAAAAGAGGACATATTATGTGTTGTATGGCATGAAAGAAGAAGCAAATTGTCTAGGAAAAGAAAGGGACTAGGACGGGATGGGAGAAAGCATAAGGCATGTGGGGTCAATATGGTCAAAATACGATCGATTCAAAAGATGTTTATGAAAGCCTTCACTCTATACAATGAATAGACATAACTAAAAACTATAACTAAAGGGACACATAACTGAAGTTAAAAATTATGTTTTAAGTTTGGTTTAACTGAAAATGCTTACATTTTATAATAATATGTAAGAATGTGATTAAAAATCTATCCCTGGATATTAAAAATAACTTAGTAACTATAGTATCAACCTAGGTGATAAGGATGCATTATTCCTTTAAAAGGGGGCACAAAGAGCAATACCCAAGCAGCTTTCCTGCACAGTGAATGCAGGAGGCTAAAGTGTTACCCTTACACCGCCCACCTGTTGAGGCACCTCTGTATTCTGAAGTTTGGTTTTTGTTTTTTTGACCAGTAATGAAAACAATACCCATTCTTTAAAACCTTTCTGTAAACACTTCAGTCTTGTCGCACATGACCCACTGATGTGACCTTTCAATTTCTATACAACCAAATGTTCAAAAATGAAACATACCAAATATAAAAAACATGTTATTTGACTATGTGAAACTGCCCCTGATTCCTGTCACTGTGGTACATTTTGTGGAGATGTTGTCTCAGTTTTGTCCTTTACTTTGTAGCTTGAGCCCAGATTTATTCAACTTCAAGTCCATGTTTTCTTGTGTCCCATTGCCACTGGTGAACAGATGCTAATAATGCAGTCTTATAGTATTATAATAGGACTTTCATTCTGTGTCTTAGTTGCTTACTGCCTTTCCAACTAAAAAACATTACAGGGCGGATATAAGTGGTATTTTCCTGTCCCAACCCCCTCCTCAGTCCCGAATAAACACACAGAGGCTTGTATTACTTATAAATGCTCAGCTGATAGCTCAGTCTAGTTACTAGCTAACTCTTACATTTAAATTAACTCATTTCTATTAATCTATGTATTGCCACATGGCTGGTGGCTTTATCTTTCCTGTAGCATGACTTGCTTCCTAGGTGGCTGGCTGGAGTCTCCCCTAACTTTTCCCTCCTTCTTCTCATCATTCTCAGTTTGTCTTTCCCACCTAACCTCCTGCCCAACTACTAGCCTATTAGCCAATGACAGTAATAAATATTCATAGTGTAAAGAAGGATTATTTCACAGAAGTTGGAGGGGTCATTTTGTGGCAAGTACTGAGTGGCATAGCACGCTCTGTCTTCTTTACCTTTTACTATTCTTCACACACACACACACACACACACACACACACACACACACACAAATAGTTGGATGGATCATATGATAACTAAATCTAGGAATGGAGTACTAATTCCTGATGCAACTGAAGTAAAGAGTGCATTTCAGCTCAAGGTTTGAGAGACAATCTATCATGATAGGAAGGGAATGCCAGCAGGAACACAAGATGGCTGGTCACATTGAGACCACAGTTAGGAAAGAGAGGAATGATAGGAAGGGGACAGGCTATAAAACTTCAGAACCTCCTTCTAACACTTCTACATAAAGTTACCATAATCTTCCTCCAAGAGTGCCAGCAGGTGGGTACTGAGTGTTCACACACTTGAGCATCTAGGCACTTTTCATATTCAGTCCATACATGGGAACCACAGGGAGATTGAGGAAGATGAGATGGCAGACAGCAGTCATTGGTTCCTGCCTATGTCTTAGCATCATAGAGGTATACCACAGAAATGGGTTATAATAATGGGTTTAGGTCTCAGTACATTTTTTTTATTTTTATAGTCATCTGTAGGTTTCTTTTTGTTCTGTGTAATTTTCTGATTTGCATAGTTTGAGATATTCAAAAAGGATATTTCTTTTACCTGTGTGGTATTCTGATACCTCCCGTTGATGGGAAATCTAGCCTGGGGCATGTTCGGGAAGATGGGTTGTGCATGCTTAGACTTTATCATTGCATTGCATGAAGCACTAACATGTCTAGGGGCATCTCAGTGGACATCCCCCCTGGCCCATTCCATGAACTCCTATCCATCTGTCTCCACAGAATGAAGTCCTGGAGGTGAAGAAGGAGGAGACTTTGCTGGATCTGGACTTTGACCCTTTCAAGCCTGACGTGGCTCCTGCAGGTTCTGCTACGGCCACCCACTCTCCCATGTCTCAGGTATAAAGTGAGCGAGGGATGTTAGGGATGACAAACCTTAATAATTATGCTTAGCTACCCACTGATCCATGTGCCGTTCAACTGAATATTATAAATTTTTCTTATTGGTTAAAGATATTCCCTATATGTAAGGTATAGAAATAAGGCTTTATTAGTACCAAATATTTATATTACTGTGTCATTAGTCTTCTCTTGCCATTGAGCTGTTTACCTCAGTCATGTCTCACACATGCCTCATTTCTCACAGACAAGTGTAGGTTCTGATAACACACTTCATGCCTTCCTAAACAAAGATCTTCTAGTTTCCTATCTTCACTACTTCCTTTTCAAGCTAAGATTTATTTGAATAACCATCAGACCCTCCTCCACAGAAATGTGTTTGTAGCCTGGATAGTTCTGAGCTTGAAGCTGCACTCATTTCCAGCTTGCAGAACCCTGCCCTGGTTCCTGATCCCAGGTGGACGTAGGGTGCCTTGTTTCTTGTGTCATTCTTGCACATCACTTCTTCACTCTCTCCCCTTCCAGTGGTTATTGTGATAAGGTTTTCTGTCAGAAGGATCCTTGCATTGGGTGTGTGTACTGTGGATGTATGAATGGTACTTCTGGAGTGGTAGTGTATAATTGCCAATTCTTATGGAAGGAAGTCATCACAAAATTGGATGAAATGTGGTGGTATATACCTGCAGTCCTGCTCCTCAGGAGGATGCTGTAGGAAGATTGAAAGTGCAGAGCCAACCTAGGTTTTGTCTCAGACCAAAACACAATCGGCATTATTGATTGTGTATGTCGGGGGTATGAGGGCACTCACATTTGACTGACAAAATTCAAGATTCACAAACAAACCAAAAACTGAAACTAAAATGTATTACAAACTTGAATTGGGAATTAATTTACTAGTCCTGTTGACTTGAAGCATTATAGCTAACTCCTTCCTGAGGAGTACAAATACCCAATGCATGCACTCTTCCCCAAGGAGTGCAAATGCCCAATATACACAGTCTTCCCAAGGAGTGCAAATGCCCACAGTGTTCTTGCTGATCTGTTCTCTACTAATCTGACTTAGCGCCTCCTGAAGACCTATTTGTTGTAAATGGGACAAGTAATACCCTAATGTGGCACTGAGTAAGGAGTTATAGTAGACAAATACAACTAACCCTGCAATAAAAAGTATCTCTTAGAGGATGTCTCTAAACTCTTCTAGGAGATCCACAGTGTACATAAATTACCTCAATTAGGGCAAGCTCCATGTCCCTGCAGTCTTCTTTCCTGCCAGACAGGAAACAATTCTGGCTGTCTGGTGTCTCTAAAGGAATCTACACATTTGCCTCTCCTCTCTGAGGAGAAAATTCAGGTTGAAGGAGACTGCAAAAGGCTGTTAGGTTCTGAGATCCACTTTCCCCTTCACGCAGAGTCACCTCCTTTCCCTATCACTGATACTTTGTTGTCAGCTGATATTCTAGATGCCAAGGAACAATTTATCTCATGGCATCTGCACTGCTCATACAAGTTAGCATATCCTTTCAGGATCTGGAGGAGCGATACACACTATGTTTAGGGATTGTTTCTTCCTTTGGAGAAAATGCTGCTGCTGTCCACACTGTGAAGAGATTTGTATTATATTGCTTTTCATTATCTGTTTCTGTCAAGGGGCTATAGAGAAACCACCAGGATAGTCAGGAAATGCATATCAAAGACATTTGCAGATTCAAATCAGTGCCATTTTCAAAGGAGTCCTTCTCTCCTGTTTTCACTGTTCTCTGAGTGGTGCTACCATAAGACTATCCAAGAGATGAAGTTAGAATGGGGACAGACTGTATATGGAACATCAGTCAGCACCACAGGGCCTGACTTTCTATGGGACAAAAATCTGTATAAAGGCAACTATAGCCTCTGGAAACTCATTTAAAACAAATGTCTTCCTAGATTTCTGATTACCTTTAGTGCATCCAAACAAGGTGTGAATGCATACAAAGGCATCCGTATAAAGCAATATGACTTTAGCAATTCCCAGTCTTAGGGAGAAAGAATGGTCTCTCCCACTGCTGTAACCATCCAGATTCCTTCATAGGTCAGCAGGTTTTATAATTAAATATCAGTATATCAGTAGTTAGTGCACATCAGGCCTGCCATTAATATGTTTTAATGGGCACCTACAGTGTGTATGATTGCCAGTTAATCTGTGTGTTCTCTAAGTATATTGGAGCATATTTAAAGATATGTTTGCCATCAAACTGGTCATAATATATATTCTTGAGATAGCAGGGAGAGGAAAGCACATTAGTTAAGGATTGACGTCTGCATTCCCTTAATGATATGATAACTCCTAGTGTTGGAAAACATTTTGCTTTAATGATGTGTGAATATTGAAGTACCATATTCATTGTAAATCACACCCAGTACTGAGCAAGCTCCTATAAAAAGAAAAAGGCAGATTGATTAGATCCTCCTGCTCTCATGATATACCTTGTGGATAAACTCAAATTCAGTAATGCTATGTAAAGCTTAAATTTTGGTTCTGTTAGACTAGCAAGCACATTTCTAATTCTTAATAGGTACCTGTGATGAGTGTTCACCAAAATAGGTAACAAAAATGGAGCTTTTCTATTATCAAAAATAGGGCCTCTTTGTATTTATCACTAACTTTATGGTTAGTGATAAATACACTAACCATAGTTACTCATAGTGTTTCTTTGTTTGTTTTTAGACATTGCCCTGGGACTTATGGACGGTAAGGCATCACATATTTTGATCTATAAAAATTTGGAAATATTAATATACTTTTTCATTTGTGAGTAAAAGAAAACTCATACATTTAATGATAATGTATTTCCCAAGAAAAAATACCTGGAAGTTGTGAGTATTTCCCAAAGCTGAAAAACCCAGTAGAGAAACTTTTGTCACTGGTTCACATTGCTGAATTGCTAGTGATCAAGGCAATGGCACTGTGTTCTTTGTGTCTTCCTGTAGGGAATGAGGACCAAAAGAACTGTCATAATGGAAGGCATGCACACATGTGGATCAAAACACAGAGTGTGGATGAGAAAATGGGAGGTTATGGGAACTATTTTTCATCATTATATTCAATTAAGTTTAGTTGAAACATTTGGAAAAATTGAGCTAGACAGTCATGGATTTGAGTTCAGGCCCTAATACTTATAATCTTGTCAATTTGATCAATTTCTAGAATTCTCTAAGCCTCAACTTTTCTCATCTATAAAATAAAGGTAATAATGATATCTACTCCAAAGTGTTGTGAGAGGATTTAATAAGATATGTGTATGGTGTTTATCCCAGTATGTGATATGTATCAACAAAGGCAGCTATGATTATCATGTTGTTTTATAACACTAATCTGATGTGCAAGCTTGAGTATTTTCAGAATTTAGAATTGGGGGAGGGAGATGACCAGAGCTTGTGATGTTCATCAGCATTGCAAAATTAGGAGACTGGTGACACCTATGCGAAGCCTGACATTCTTTAGTGCAGGGTCTTAGTCTTTAAAAATCTCTGATTGAGAATTCTGTTGCAGTTTAGTAAACTGCAACCGACACAGTCAATAAATGTAGCTGTTATTTGTGGACACACTCTTCAGAAGTAATATTTCTACTTGTTCCCTAAAAGTAAAAGGATGCTCACCCTCTTCCCAGAGTTTATGTCCCACTTTTTAGGATCCTTGAAAGAGACCAAGATCATACATAATAGTGTTGGTTGAAGCCACACATGACTAACTCAGTACCTTTCACACAGAATTAGTTTTACTTGGGTACTTACAAATGGGGGTGGGTTGAAAGGCAGGACCCTAGAATTCTAACTTCAGTATTGTGTTATTTTTATTGTTTATTATGGGAATAATACTAATCTTGGTTATCTCAAAATTCATAACGTGAATTAGAACTATGATACATTTTCTTCCCTCTCTAAAAGGAGTGTGGTGAGGGCAAACGTACCTTCTAGAAGGATCTTTCACTGCTTCAGAGAACAGACTTACTAGGAATAATAGTCATAATAAAACTATATGAAATAGGGGCTTTCTGGACCTACTGCCCATTATTCTTAGTCCTGTCTACTCTACAGGGTATTTCTCTCGTGGGCAGAAAATTGTTTCTAGGTTGAGGGAAGACTTTTAAGAGAATCCTCAAGTTAATGTTAATTTACTCTCCATCACATTCTTCAGAGATTTCCCTAGTGAAAAATGAATTTGACCTTTTGTTCCAGTGTTCTTACAGAGCATGTGACATGGAGCAATTTCTTGACCTCTACTCTTGAGAGCATCTTGGTGTTCTCAGACTTGCATGTTCATTTGGATAAGTATTTTCATTTCATGGTTACCTAAGGTAGAAATTGTGAAGTAGCCACAAAACATCCCACTGATACTAGAATATGGCATAGGCTCTTTGTGTTTCATTTGTGCCTCTTCCACAATTGTCTTGAATAAATTTTAAATCATTCCTATAATAAAAAAGTGGTAAAATTTAATTCCTGAACAGTAAAAAGCTACAGCATTCACAAGAGTATTGTCCCTGGACGTATTAGACTTCAACCAGTGAAATGTTTTTCATTCTTTACTTTTTTCTCCCCCGCTTTCTCCCTTACAGACAAGTACTGATTTGGTACAACCGGTAGGTTGATTTTTATAAGTTTTGGGATTTTAAAGATATCTAATATCATTATACATATGGCTATCTGGGGGTGGGGTAGAATGACTTTCTCCATGGCATTGCCAGTCCTAGCCTTGACTTTAAGCCAATTAACTCAAGTACTTTCTGATTTTGTTTAACTGGTACTACACTACTCAAGAGCTGTATGTTTTTCATCAAATATTTCATGGTCTGTTTCATCTTTTTTTCCCCTTTGCTTTTCTACATACTTTAAAGACTGACTCTTCAAAAAGTCTTTCTATGTGTAACCTCATCATAGAGGAAACTCCTGGAAGTGGGTTGGCTGAAGAGCTTCAAAGACCTGAAACTATAGGTGCATTTACTTGGGGCTCTCATGCTAGGACAGACAGTGTCAGCCAGGAGATGACCCCAAGTGGGTCCCGAGAAGACATTGTCTGTCTCTCTGAAGCAGAGCAAGACATGAGATTATCTACTGGAATGCTTTCTTCTGCTGACTGTTCTACTGTAGCTGAACAGGGTGAGGATGCCCCGGGGCCAGCCCCTCCAGCTAGAAATGAGCAGCTGTTCTCAGAGCCTGTGCCTGGGGCTGGAGTTGCTATTACTGCGTGCCTGGAGATGGACCAGCCATATGCAGTACTTGACTCAGAGAAGCCAGCCATGGGAAAAGTTGACCTGCTCAAAAAAGGTCATGAAGAAGCTAAAATAGCAGATGGAGAAATAAAACAGAAACAGAAGGTAGAAGATCCTATGTGGAAATGTGTGGACACAAATCAAAAGGTAGACACTGGAGCTAGTGATATCAAGGCACTAGAAGATACTGGAGGATTTGAGGAGATAGTGTGTAACAGTCTGGGAAACAGAACACTATATTATCTCAAAAAACCATCAGAACAAGGCCAGGAGACCTTCAAAATGAGTGAAGAGGGAAGTAGAAAATATCTAAGGGTGAGATGTGAAGAAAGACTAAAAACATTTGAAAGTTATTTTGAGGAAGCTGATCTATTAGAAAAAGACACAGAAAGAATATATGTGGCAGATAAATTTGGTGACAGAATCCAAGGGTTTTCTGAAAATATTCAAGTAATAATCAATGATCATAAAAATGTGAAAGACTCTGAAGCTACACTTGCCAATCACACAGGGATCTGTAATCTGCCTCTCCAGATGGACCCTATGTCTTTTATTACAGATTTGAGCATTGAGGAATGGGATTTAACTAGAATAGAGATGGGGAAACAATCAACAGGCCCTCACCACCATTCTACAAAGCTGCATTCTGCACAGGGAGGTGCAGGCATAGAAGAAATTCAATGTGGCATTCCAGTCAGTGCTCAAGAGACTGATGGGCTTAATAGTCAGGCTGTTGTTATGTCAATCAAATATGCAATGGCAGAAGATTCTTACACTGACCCTAACTGTTCTCTGGGGATTCTTGCAAGCAGAAAAGGGCAGTGTTCATATAAGGGAAACAATTCATCAGCAGAGGGCTCTGTAAGTACAGTGCCTGGAAACTGTAGCCATGCCATTAAATTGCCAAGAACTACAAAGGCAGATTCTTGGGGAACAGATCCAGGTCAAATCTGGCAGCCAGACTTGAATTCAGGAATAAATAATGTGGATATAGTGGGAGTCTCTGGTACTCCAGATGGCCAAGCAAGTAGACTTGCCAATTGGCAGCAATCTAATAGCCATTGGTCTATCAGAGATATAGAGGGTTTACATAAATTTGGGGGACATATAGTAGAAAGTGAGAAAGGCCTGGAAGTGGATGTAGCAGCAGATATATGTGGGAAACACGCCAGGGCTAGTGGCTTGGATCAAAGCCAGGAGACCACTGGACCATTGGTTCAGGGAACCTCCTGGAACACTAGCATGGAGAGTCCTGATAGTCCCCAAGACAATGACATCAACAACTCAGATTTATCTGAAGATGAAATTGCTAACCAGAGATATGGATTGTTGTACCAAGAAATAGAGGCTGATAAAGATGAGGTACTTGCCCTAGAATGTAGCATAGACTAGCCGGACTTTCGTAGGTTCCAGTTTTCCTTATGTCTCTCACCAACTTCATTCTCCATCATTGATCTCCTTGACAGACATCCTCTTGAAACCTATGTAAACCAAACACAAACAGGTTGACAAAAAATCCAACAAAAACAAATAAACAAAACAAAAGACTACATAATGATTGTTCTGGGAACTAATGGAGTTATTCTTAATATTCCTCTTTTTTACTTTTTTGTTTCTTTCTTTTTTCTTTTTGTTTTGTTTTACCATTTGGATACTAGAATGTGCTAAACCATGAGCAACACAGACTTACTGTTGCTAAGGTGACTCCACTCCCATAAAAATACATGAAATGTTTCTACACAGGCTCATTAAAACTATAGAATCTTAGTTGCTGTTCATTAAGTCATTTATGAATGACTTAAAAGAGCCATTAACTCCATGGTTCTTGCCTAGAATCATTTTCTCACTAGGAGAAAGTCAGTGTTGGTGAACACTGAACCATGTGCTAGTGACAATTATAAAGCTGATCTTTCACTTTTTTGTCAGCCTATTTATAATAATACAGCATGGCTTCTTGTAGTTCCTAAGCACTTTCAAGCAAAGCAAGCTGTTGTATTATTTTTGAATTTGTGTGTGGTGGTTGTTACTCTCCAGCTTGTCTAATGGATATGCACTCATCCTATGAAAGTGTTGAAAAAAAATCACACCTATTTTCCATTTCTTCTAGGCTTCTGGAGGTTCATTTAATGGCTTTACACAGGTAAGGAGAATGTTTCCTTTACAAGAGCCAACTGCTGGAAATGTTTAATTCTTTTCTGTGTGAGTTTTGTGCTGACATTCCAGTAAAATGACGAAGAGCATCAGTACAAAATTTGATCTCACTACTTACAACTGGAGTAATGGAAACAGCATTGTGGCATTGTTGTGATGAAATGAGCTGTGCCTGCAGTGTCATTAGCCCAGTGATCTAGCATGTGCTAAGTGCTCCATATTGTTTTGCCAATATTTTTAGTAGTCCTTAAAAGTAATTCCAATCTGAAATATACTCTAGACTTGGCCACTAGAAAAGAGGAGATATGATTATTTTTACAAAGATGATAGATATTAGATATAATGATTTTAAGAGCTCCTTCTAAAATGTCATAGTGAGCCACACCATGTGCAGCCATTCCTTTAGTGACTCTCCAAATTAGAGCCATCTGAAGATCGGGAACCACACTCCAACTGTGGCCAAGAAAGCAGTGATTCCTGGTTTTCTGCCAACCCAGATTTATGTTTAGAATAACTCATGTTAACACTTACTGGGTATTTCTTAAATGATTTAAAGGGAGGAACTTTAAAAAACATTAAAACATCTTCATTGATTCAACTGATGGCTAATATTTTAGATAGCTTTTTACAGTTTTCTCCCTCTTTTCAGCCCCAGGACACTTCATTATTCACCATGCAGGCAGATCAGAATATGGTAGGTGGCTTGGTAAGTTGATGTGACTGTATTTGGGGATGGTTGATAGTTATCATGGGATATTTGAAAGTTAGTTGGTCACACTAGCTTCTGTGGGCTTTTAATATACAGTATATGATTTGTACAGCTCCCTCTTTTCAGAAAAACAGGAAGAAAACCAACTATAAAACCCAACTTTGAACTTGTTTACCACTGGCACAATGACACAAACAAAAGCCAGCTTCTTGTGATACTTAACATCCTCGGTTGGAATACAGTGAATCTACCAGTCTCTATGTGACTATAACTTAAGCTATAGGATGATAAATGAGTTTGTCTTAAGACTTGAGCTTAGCGCTACTAATTTCTCATCTCATTTTGTAAGTTCTATAGAGAAGCCAGCTGATGATGAGAGTAATGAGTTGGAAGGAGAAAGAGTTACCCAGGGGAATAGAGGTTTTTAGAAGGTGGATGTTGCAGTTTTCATGGGAAAACTTTTGGCAGCTTCCTAATAAAGAGGCCTTGAAAGATGTCACTGTGTGTTTACCTTTCAGGACAGAGGGTATGTGCATGCTGAAGACTGAAGGGGCTATCAGCAATGCTGTGGCTTTTCTATAGGAATACTATGTAATTATCTTAGCTACCAACTTTCACATCAGAAATTTGGAATTGAATTCATATAGAATAAATTTTTCCTTGTATAATACTTCACTTCTAAGTAAGGAATTCTGACTAAGGAAACTTATCTAAAAGTTGATTTTGGTAATATTCTGCTATCTTATCAATGGACTATCATACTTTGTGTTTTTTTGCACAACCAAGTGGAAGACAGAGTCTTGATTTCTTTTTTCTTCAATTATATGATAACAAAACCAGAGAAACTCAGTCTGTATGCTCATTGGTCGTTCTTAGCCTTGATGATAGAACTTGGATTGTGAGGTTTTAAAATGACAATTGTTAACAGTTAGGGAAAACTCAGAAATCCAGAAGTGAAAGAGAGACTGTTGGTCATGATTAAGTTTATAGCCACTTCATCAATACACAAAGTCTAAGCTCAGAACCATGACCTTTCACAACTAACTGCACATTAGTTGTGTTAAGACTTCCTGGCTTTCCCTCCAGTTCTCTCAATATATATTCTCCTGAGCAGACATCACACTTCCTCTCTCTTGAGGAATGCAGCTTGTCATGCCCAGCATTGCAAATGCTACTAAAATTCTTGCTACAAGGCAGTAGGCAATTGCCATGCATGGCAACTGTAATCTATACCTATCACTAATCTATCACTATGCAGCATCTCAGAAGCAGCAGAAGCCCCAACACTGGATTCCTGGACTGTGCTGAGCAAAAGGGATTGAAGCTGATATTCAACTGTACATGGCTTGTGGCCCACAGAACATCACTATGGACCAGTTGAAAACCATTTTGAGACTTCCGACCTTGTTCATAGTTGCCCTCAAGTCCTTTTCATTCTGTATTAAATAGCTCTTCTAAACCTATAAAAAAAGCAACACTAGAAGGCAAATATCATATTGGCTTGTGAATAGAATCTCGACTCTCCCAGCCCATCTCTACCTCTGTACTGACTGGATTAATCTCATCAGAAAGGGGTTTCAGAATATGTGTTCCAAGACTACACAGCCAGCTTGATTCTGAAGAATTTGCATTCTGAAGAAAGAATCATTTCTAATGCTCAAAAAATAGGTACAGCATGTTCTCAGTCCATTAACATCTGTCAAGGCAGATACCTTGTAGGAAGAACAACAAGTACAGTTGAAGTGGAGCCCAATTCACATAAGGCTTCAGATTTTTCCACAAGATTTTTCTCACAAATGAACTTCTTTTGTATATTATAAGAAAATATTTATAATTTCATATCTTAGAGGATAGAAGAGTGATCGACCAGTAAGTCTAATTTGAATGGTGGAGTTTATGCAGTGTGTTTCATTCTTCCTCAACACCAATGAACTGCATTTGTCCCCTAGAACTTAAGTCATATCCACAGTACTTAGAGCTCAGTGAACATGTGTAGCTTGTGAGAAAATGCTAATCTAGAATCTTTCATTCTATACAATAGTTCCACTTATTGATTTTAACATGGAGATACAGTTAGACTCAAGCATAAAACTATCTTCATTGTTCTTTGTTAAAGTTCCAGAATTTCCCCCCAGATAGCTAGAAATCCAAGCCAATGATCCAAACATTGTTCCGTATTTTAAGTTATCCTTGTATCTTTAAAGTGCACAATATCTTTGATATTTTATATGAGTTGTTTATCAAACCTTCTCTTGGCTCCTCTTCAGCTTCAGTTTTCCTCCAAAGCAGACTCAGCTGACCAGGGAAGAGCATCATAAAGGTTTTAAAACACAGTAAAAATATTTAAATCTTTGCACACTTGTCTACAAAAGTATCTTTTCATTTTATTATGCCCTTTGAAAATACCAGGTGTGTGGTCACAGTGAATGACTTGGTGGAGGCCATAAGAAAATCAGTTTTTCTGTTTCTTTAGCACTAACTGAGTCATTATTTTAGAACGGATTCTCCCACACTTCTCTGTAAAATTCATTGTGTATGCTGAATTAATTATGCATACAGGAAAAACAGAAGGTTTTGAGTGAAGAAATACTGGAGACCTGATTCAACATGTAACAGGCAGTGGAAGCTGATTATATGTAGTAGTCTCATACTGGCAAAAGCATCTTATCTTGCCCTAGCAATTTAAGGTTTCTCGACCTGTGGATAATGACCCCTTTGGGGGTCACATATCAGATATCCTGCGTGTCAGATATTTACATTAGGATTTATAACAGTAGCAAAATTACAGTTATAAAGTAGAAAGAAAAATATGGTTGGAGGTCACCACAATATGAAGAACTGTATTAAAGGGCTGCAGCATTGGGAAGGTTGGGAACTACTGGCTTAAAGGGTCTCCTTGAGACCATGGAGAAGGCTGTCCTATTATTCTCTTTTTGTTTTTTGGTTTTTCAAGACCGGGTTTCTATGTGGCTTTGGAGGCTGTCCTGGGACTAGCTCTTGTAGACCAGGCTGGTCTCGAACTCACAGAGAACCACCTGCCTCTGCCTCCCGAGTGCTAGAATTAAAGGTGTGCACCACCAACGCCCGGCTTGTCCTATTATTCTTTAAAGAATTACTTTGTTACATGAAACAAATTGATTGCTATATGTGATTTTTTTTTTTTGATTCTGGAGTTAATGGATCAGCCAGGTAGCTGAGCCTGCTCTCCCAGCTTTGGATGATCCACTGTGTTAAATAAATACCTTTTAATGTTCATACTAGAAATGTCCCTCCATTGTTAGTGTAATATATTCTTATATACAAAAAGATCACAGAACTATGTGCCCTATGGGTTATTCTTGACTCCTTCTACCTGGCAAATAGTGGACCTTCTAGAGATATTCTCTCTGTCTCTGTCTGTCTGTCTGTGTCTCTCTGTCTCTCTCTCTGTCTCTTTCTCTGTCTCTGTCTCTGTCTCTGTCTCTCTGTCTCTGTCTCTCTCTCTGTCTCTCTGTCTCTCTGTCTCTCTGTCTCTCTCTCTCCCCACAGCAGAAGTATCATCTCAGGTTCTCTTACACAGGCTGTAGAGACATGAAGATCAACTGTTACAGGTGAATACAGTGGTAGGGTCTTTGCCCGACTTCAAAGGAAAAAGTTGCAGAGCCTGTTCAAAAGAAGCTCAACACAGTTCTGCTCCGGGACTCCAGTTCTGCAAGGGGCCCCTGACACTGCATAGAATTTATTTTTCTAGGATGGATTTAGCAAAACCACTGCCTGCTTTGAATAATGATGAAATTCTGGATTCTCCAGCATTCTTCAGTGTCACCTATTCATATGTTGAATCTTTTTGTTTCCTTCTTACCCACGAATAACTTAAGGCTGAAACTGAACAGCCTCTATCCATGGAGCCCCAAGCAGAGGAGCCTCCTGTCACTGCTGCTGCACCTGTTTCAGGGCTAGACCTTGGACTGGAGATGGAGGAGCCAAAGGAAGATGTAGTGGTGAGCTCACTCCCTGCACCCTCTATCCACTCTGCTGCTTCTATCAAGCTTCTCCCATGATCCTTTGTACCACTTCCTTTCCAGGTTTCAGCTGGGCTAAAGGATTCTCTTGTCTGCCATGGTTCCCAGTATCAAAGAGCCTTCTCTAGTTTCATAGCAAAATCTTGATTCCCTGATATTATTATTATTAGTAGTAGTAGTAGTAATAGTTTTTTGTTTTTTTTGTTTTTTTGTGTTTTTTTTTTTTTGTTTGTTTGGTTTTTCAAGACAGGGTTTCTCTGTGTAGCTTTGGAGCCTATCCTGGCACTCGCTCTGGAGACCAGGCTGGCCTCAAACTCACAGAGATCCGCCTGCCTCAGCCTCCCGAGTGCCACCATCGCCCGGCTTAGTAGTAGTAATAGTAGTAGTAGTATTTAATTTATACCAAAGAACAGAGTGTATGGATTAGGGAAATTGCCATGTATGTAGCCATAGTTGTGGCTCTCCAGAATCTGTGCCTCAATTCTCTGATGCACTATTTCTGTCAGTGGAGAAGCTCGGAATGTGGAGAGAATTAGACCTATTTCTATGTTTTACCTGAGACGGCTGGAAATGTGCAGCAATTGGGGATCAAATTGCCCAAGAGAAAAGTAAGAATAACATGGCTGGTAAGTCTGCATGTCACTGGCAGCTGAGTATAGACAGTGTTTTCAGGTTCTTGACCTCTTATCCAAAACAATAGAAAATGAGACTTGCAAAAGAAACAAGATAAAATTATTGGGAGCAAAGTGATAACAAAGCAGATTAAAGAGAGATACACTGACAGTATTGACAGCAGGAGACATGAGGGAATGTACTCAAGGGTCCTTATGATGCTTTCTCCTATAGAATTCAAGAGAAGGAGGGGCTGGCTCCTATAGCTTGAGTATTTCTCATTCTGATTGATAAATTAGGTTATGTCATCATTTCTCTGCTATGAATGTCCTTTCCCACAATATATCTGATTCAACACTATGCCTGGTCAATTATGCATAGATATAAGATGGTCCCTAAAGGAGAAAACAGTTTTGCCTTACTACATATGCAGCAAAACTAGTTCCAGCTGGACATGTTTGGAATTCACTTGAATGGTAACTATGTAATGTGACTGTTACCAGGGATAAGGAAACTTATGTCTTTGTTCAGAAATGGGAGCAGGTATTTCCTGGTGCATATGGGAGGTTCTGGAGCTTTAGGTGCACTGTTGGAGAGAAATGGTTACACGTACTATTGCAGGTGAGGGAACTAGGCTACCAAGTGATTATTGCAGATGGGGGGGAAGGGGTTCCATAACTGAAGACCAAATGGGTGCCCATGGCCACTAACCTATCTCCTGTGCTTGCCTCCCATATATGTTTTGGTTATTTGTGGTTTTGGTTTCATACATTGTTGATGACCCAATACTGAACCTATGGTGTATATTTTAGACCTGTGAATCTCAAAGATTTCTTCTTTACAAATTCTTCAAAATCCAGTCTGTATAGGTCTTGAATCTACGGTGGACCTTAACGATACATTTCAGGCTGGGTTGGAGATCCACCTGACTTCTTAGATACTTATTCTTACCCTGATGCACACAGCTTTAAGGAAGGCTCACACTGCAACATTCAGCAAGCTCATAGGCAGCAAAATGCCCATGAATGTATAGAATTGGAAAAAAATTTTCCCCAACTTTTTACTGTTTACTATAGCCTTCACAGAAAAGAAACACAAACAGAAAATCAATTACCCCCTTGCCAAAATGCTATTTTCTGGACTGCATACCACAAAAATGAAGGTTATAGTAAATGTTTTTTTGTTCCTGTTGTTACTTTGCTGAGAAAAACATAGGTTATCTGTCAACTCAGCAATTTATTAATAAAGATAAACCCAAATGTAGGATATGATAGTAATAGATAATACCAATTAGATCTAATTTAAGAAAACTGGCGCTAAGGAAGCTCATTGGTCAACAGCATTTGGTATTCTTGCAGAGGACCTGGGTTCGGTTCATAGTACACATATAGTGGCTTACAACCATCTTTAAACTCTAGTTCCAGGGACTCTATCACCATCCTCTGGCTTCCACAGGCACCAGACACACAGGCAGTGGCAAAATACTCATACACATAAATTAAGACTAAATAAATATTTAAATAAAATTTAAAAGCAATTAAAAAACTTTCATATTGTTTTTTGAAATTTGAAAATTCAAAGTTGGACAATGTCTTAGAAAAATAAGAAGTGTGTTTAGCTAGCTGAACCCCCTTCTAGAAGTGTCTGTTGCTTGTGTGAACTTCCTGTCACCCCCAAATTTACTGGTCGTTTATGGTTTTCTTATGATGTTGTGAACATTTACTCACTTTAGCTGTGTGGTTATTTAAAATGGAGGGGATCTGAGGAGGTGGCTCACTGGGTTACATGCATGCTGCACAGGCCTGTGGGCCTGAGTTCAGATCCCCAGGAGCCCCACTAAAATCAAGCATGGTGGTGCATGCCTACAGTCCCAGCACTGGGAGGCAGGGACAGGAGGGTCCCAAAGATGGATAGATGGATGGATGGATAGATGGCTGGCTGGCTGGCTGGATGGATGGATGGATGGATGGATGGATAGGTGGATGGGTGGATGGGTGGATGGATGGAGAGTCTAGCCACTCAGTGAGCTCCAGGGTCAGTGAGGGATACTGTTTCAAAAACCAAAGTGGAGAGCTATAGAAGAAGATACCTGATGTCTCCATTCTGGCCTCCACATACATCCATGGACACATGTATTCACACATACACACATTAACATAGGACAAAGAAAAATACAATTGAATACTTGCCATTGCATACACCCACATGTGCATTTACACATATCAACACAGGACAAGGAAAAATAGAACTGCATTCTTCTAGCACAAATAATAAAAACCCAGAGACAGATATTGGGATTAAAGCTGAAGATCAGAGAAGCAAAGCGGCCAAGCCACTTGAGGGTTCTTGAGTCTACCAATGCTCAGACAGAAGGAGCGGTCCACCAAACCTCAGACTCCATCTCCAGACTGCATGCTCCTCACCAAATCTCATACTGCTGCTTGAGATTGCACTGAGCTTCTTATATTCTCTCTAGTTCTGGGATTGAAGGCATGAGCTCTGCATCTCTTTTAGACTGATTGACTCTCATGTAGCTCTGGGTGGCCTTTAACTCACAGAGATCCATCTGCCTCTGTCTCCTGAGTCCTGGGATTAAAGGTGTGCTCCACCACCTCTCAGCTTCTATGGATGACTAGTGTGGCTGGCTTTGCATTCTAATTTTCAGTGGCTATATTAGGTCATAAACAATGTATCACCACAGATTCTTGACCACTGTTAGATTTAAAGAGATCATTGATTTCGAGATGAACGTGGCCAATACCAGGGAGGCAGGAAGGTGACGATTTAGATTTTGAAGAAGTGATTTGATTCTGAAAATCTCTCACCAAATTCCAATTTTGAATGTCAGATGATTTCTTCTCCGTGTGTGCTTGTGTACTATATTGATCTTAGGTTTCAGAGCAAAACCTAATTCTACAAAGCTGGTAACATTGAACAGCAAGGCGGAGACATGAAGGAGAGAAGCCAATACTCTAAGCTCAGGCACCGATGCTGGTTCTCTGTGATCCCCTCTCAGGTTATGAGACCACACACCTTTTCACTCATCTGAATTTTATGCTTCTGCAAGTAGATTTCTAACACATTTAAATTAAAATATAATCACACCACATAGCCTTTTCCTTTCCTTCCTTTAGCCCCTCCCATGTCCCCTTCCTCCAACCTTTCCCACGCACCTTCTCAAATGGATATCCCCTTTTTCTTTTATTGTTACTTATATATACATACACACAAATACATAAATACAACCTGTGGAGTCCATTTTTGTTTGTGTGTGTATGGTTTCAAGGCTGAGCACTTTATAACAGGTAACCAAAGGGACTCATTCCAGGGAGAGGCTAATTCTCTCTCTCAGCTGTCACTGATTACCTTTAGTTCTTTGTCTATGAATGAGACTCCGTGGGAGTGGGACTTCTTGGTATTTTCTTCCTTCCCCTTGTGTTTTTCTGTGATGGCCCTGTGTGTATGTGTGCCGTGTGTGCGTGCGTGCGTGTGTGTGTGTGTGTGTGTGTGTGTGTGTGTGTGTGTGTGTGTGTGTGTGTGTGTGTAGAAAAGCTTCAGTAAAGGACATTAGGGCTCCAGATAGGCTGAAATCTCTGCTAATGTCAGGACTTTCCACAATCATTTCTTAGACTGGAGAGATGTCCCTGCAATGTAGCTGAAAAAGTCAAAGTGAAACAGTAGCTCTTGTTTAGCCTGTTTTGAGCTTCCCACAGGCAATGTGTGTCCTCATCCCTTGCTTTGGCTGTGAAGCAGTTGTCAAAGGGATGTAGCAGCAATATCCTAAATGGGAATTCACAGAATGAGCTTGTTGGCTGTAGGAAGCTGATGTTGGGGAAATCATTTTACCCTCTGTGCCTGATTCTCATCTCTCCTTTATAGGAGTTGCCCTGATAAAGTTCTTCTGCTCTTAAAAATCTACAACCGAATGCTTTAAAATGGAAGGACTTCCAAATCCCTGCAGTGTGGTGAAGCAGTCTTGTTTATGGCTGTTGGCAGCCTGTGTTTACTAAGCAACTGGGGTGACAAATTCCCATCAGTCAGTGATGCCACCACTGTTGCAAAGCTATGGGGTTAGAGGGCTGCCAGTGGGTCCTCTCAGTGTGATGCTCAGCTGCCTTCTCCTCTAGTTTCAGGTCACACACTGCCATCTGTCAAGGCTCAGGCTGCCCTGAGCCATGCACATGGTCAGGGCTGGGATACTTGCATGTAGAACATGAGAATATTTAAGTAATTTTCAGCCCAGTCTTCATCCAGTCTCAGGCTGGGCCTGGCACCATTCCTTCAGTCCTGCCATCCTGATCCAAGACCCACACCGGAGGAATTCTGCTGCTCGTGTTTTGTTGTCAGTGTTTAGTCAGAGTCTCAGT